AAGCCTGTTGCTGATAAGGTGGAGGCTCATTAGCAGGGTCAAAAGAGGGGAAAGTTTTGGAGTTAGGAGGAGGTTCAGAAGAGGATTTGGCTGGTTTTGAGACTGGTTTAGAGGCTAATAGAACCTGCACAGGAGAACAGGAAGTACAGAGGTAGGGTTTGATGCAGAGATAGGAAAAGGATTGGACGTAGGGTATTTCCTTCCATTTACCAGCACACTCACAAAAATTGTATAAATCCCTTAAAATATTGGGATCAAAAGTGTCATTAAGTGGCTGTTTGGAGGCATTGTCTAATGGATACTGGGGCCAGGCCTGATTACAGAGAAAAATAAGCTTTCATAGCTTAAGATCAGGCATTAGGCGAAGAGGCCCAAGGTTGGCCAGGAGACATCCCAATGGGGAGTCTGAAGGAATTTTGGACAGTCCAACTCAGTTCAGGAGGCCTGAACTGAGGAGAGGATATGATGGGTATCCCCGAGATATCAATTCCTCAGGAGAGAGCAGAGGTGGAACTCCCAGGAGGGACATCTCTGTCACTGAGGGCCCACAGTCCTAGGGGACCCAGTCCCCAGAGGAGAGAGAGAGAGAGCGCCAAGACCTAGCGCTAGGATTTCGAGGAAATGAGAAAGAGATCACAGCTCTGCATGTGAGGAGGACTCACTGAGAGAGGACCTTGAGGGAGGATTGACCTGACCAGTGGTGGATGATGATTGGAGGTGTGCTGGGGCAGAGGAAATTCCCTGTGAGCAGTGAGGGTGTCTTCTAGGATCGGGGGTTCTGCCAAAATAGCTCAGATCCCAGAGGAAGGGATTGGGAGTTCGGAGTTTGGAGAGAGAGAGAGAGAGAGAGAGAGAGAGAGAGAGAGAGAGAGAGAGAGAGAGAGAAGGCGGGATGGGGAGAGGCCGGGAGAGCAAGGTCAGCATGGAAGCACACCCAATCCAAGTCATGGCACCAAAATATTAGGAAAAACGCTGCCTGCAAAGAAAGCTCACGAGAAAAATCTCACATCCAAGATCAGGGTTTAATGACAGGCACGAGCCGCCAGGCTGACCGGGGAAAGATGGTGCAGCACAGACTCTGGGCTAGGCGTGGCTTTTATAGAAGAGGAGGTTAAGGAAGTTAGCACATGTGCGGGAGTCTCCGGTAGGGGCAGAGCTTCTCTTGGAGTGGGGGAATTTCTGTTTAAGGATGGGGCTGTTATTGGGAATGGCTCCATTTCTCAAGTGAGGCCTGAGGATAAAATGGCCACCAATTTACAAAATGGAGACATTATTGTTCTATCAATGACCAGTAGTCTCAGTTTAGCTTTCAAAAGAAACAGCTACTTTTCTCTAGAGTACTCAGTGTAATAATTAAATTATTTAACTACAATGGCATATGCCACTGGCATTAAAAAATCTAAGAACAGGGCTAGTAGAGTGACTCAAGTGGTAGAGCACCTGCCTCACAAGCATGAGGACCTGAGTTTAAACCTCAGTACTGCCAAAAAAACAAAAAAGTCAGTATACAAGAAATCTAAGAACAAACCTGTTGACTCCTGGTAAATATGCAGCTCAGCTAGAATAGAAGAGTGTGGGCATAAATTAATTTAGTTACAGAGGAATGAAGATTGTGTTTGAGTCAAGCAACTTGGTATTAAATGGAAATCAGTTAACAGAGTTTCTCTTGTAAATAAATGAAAGTGACATTCATTAAGAGGTTGCTTTATTGGACAGCTAAGTGATTCAGCTTCTTGAACAACCAACTTAATTAACTTTAAAGGAGTGAATTTGTCTTTTTAAAATGCCTTAAGCAAGCAAATGCCTTTCTAGGATCAGGCTCTCTTTTGCCTTTTGACATGGGCACTTACTGATGTGTTCAGATTGATTGCCTAGATTCTGGATCCTACCTGTCCTAATTCCCAAGTCATCTCTTCCTCTGCCTTGATCCCCTCAAGGCTTTGGCCTGGGAAATCTTGGCTTGCAGCTTTGCATTACTACCTAATGTTCCCTTTATGTTCCGTTTCACAGGGATCCACTTCCTCCAGTCTCTAGCCATTTGCCATTTGCAAATTCTTCAGGATAAACCCTCTTGTCTTCCCCCTCTTCTGGATTAGTTTCTGCTTCACTCTGAGTCACTGGAGCATTCCATCCTCCAAAAATCTGATATTTTTCATTTCATCTCTTAAATTTATTTTTGCATCTGAAAGATTTATAGCTTTTATTTTAGATATATTTCTTTGCTATCAGTTTAAGGAAGTTCTAAGGATAACAGAATTCCTGCTTATCTTTAGCAGTTCCTGTTTGTCCTTCTCTCTACTACAGTAACTTCTTATTTCCCAAAACCTTCATCTCCTGGTTCCCCAGAAAACAGAAATCTCAGTTTTGATCTTTCTAAACAATGTCTACTCAGCTTTTTCCTAGGATTGCTTAGCAAAACCCTGTTTGTTCTGTGGTTAACATGTAGTCACTGTGAATTAGTCTTTATAAATAGCAATTAAATCTTGAGAATGTTTTTGGATGAAGGTTAAGTGCAATTAGTCTAAAGTCAAGTTAACTGAAAAAAATTCCTATTGATTAGAAAATAAGACTCATAAAGTCAGATGAACACTGCTCCTTTGACAACGAAGAAGGGAGTATTTTGGGACTGGGAGTTAAAACATTTTCTTAGGAGGACAGTTGTAGCATTTCTTAAGCTCATGGTAGTTATTTTTTTTACAATTGCATAGGCTTTTACAATTTCAAAGATCCTTCTTTTAGGAGGTAGGTTGGACTTAAATAATTCTTTCCATTTGTCATAGTATATCTTTTTCACATATTCATATTGTTTAGCAAGAATATAATCAGTTCTTTGAAGGGAGAGACTGTTTCTGTTATCTCTTAGCATCTCTGAGTGCCAAAAAAGGAGCTTCTAATAAACTCAGGGACTTTGGATGAGCTCAATTAATCTTTACATTTTTTATTTATGAATTTATGAATAAGGAACCATTGTTGGGCTGATTTTACAGATGATGAAACTAAGGCACAAGCTACACTACACAATTATAGAAAGAGGAAATTAGTTATTTTACAGAGGGAGTAAGACTTGTTAATTCAGACAAATTAATTCCAAGTGGAAAGGGCTGCACTTGGCTGTCCGGTTAGCCAGGTTAGGTAGCTCTACCCAAGTATAACGTAGCCTTTGCCTTCTGTGAACATGCAAGATGCTTTCTAGAGAGACAGATCTAGGACTTCATGAACGCTGCAAAACTGACTGTATAATTATTTGTTAATAAATGCTTAATGTATTTGGTCTGAGAATATCTTTCGCTATAACATACCCCCTGGAACTAGGTTGTGGAGGAGCCCTGTAGCTCAACCTATTTCTATACCACCAGAAGGTAGTATGTCTGCCTAAAGACCTTAGTAAGCCTGGATGACCAGACTGACCTGAGCTAATTTGTAATCTCCTTTCTCTTTAGTTATCTCTGAGGAGAAATCTAGTCCAACAGGGTCAAATGATATCTTATGAAAATTTATCATAGGCCTCCAACAAAAACTCTTGGGATATAGCCTCTGTCATGAAGCCTTTCTGCAGTGTGTAAGTATTTGGAATGTGGGAAAAGTCTGTGGGTTAAATTGCAAATAACCAGCAGTTAATAATTCAGTGTTGACTCCAAGCTCTATAGTTCTCCTGGGGATTTTCTATACCAACGGGAAGGAGCTATGATCAAAGCCAGCTGAGGCTAAAATGATTGTAGCTATCTTGATGGCTCCTCCCACTTCCTTTTGGTTTACTGTTGAGAAAATTCTGCCTCAGAAGCCCTGACTTTTTCCTCTGTGTCCATTTCATGTGTCCCCATTGGATGCTCCACTATCTCAAGCAGCTCCAAGTTTCAAAGACACTAGAGGATTTTGGCCTTGCTGGTTGTCTCAGATCACAATCCAGTAGTTGCTTGTGAATTATAGGAATATTTAGATTTTGAAGTGAAAATCACCAAAAATTTATATGTGAATATAAATAACTTAGTACCTGAGTATTGATCCTATGTTAGCCTATAAAAATATAGACCATACTTTCCAGACTAATTTCACACAAGCTTTTAATTGGAAAAATGATGTGCATAGTTAGGGTAAAATCTCAAGTTTCTGTTTTCGTTCTAGTCTGGAACACTGATTATAGAACTTTAGAGAAAATTCTTATCTGTGGTGTCCAATAGAGTAGCCACTAGTCACATTGACTATTGAGCAGTTAAAATGTGGTTCATGCAACTAAGGAATTCAGCCTTTAATTTTATTAAACTTAAATAGGCACTTGTGACTATTTGCTACCACATTGGTCTATACAGTTCTAGAGTATGGTGATGACCCTATATCACCATAGGTCACCTTAAAAAATGAAAAAACTTAAATGTGATCTGTCTGGACAATGGCTTGTTTTTGTCCAGGCTACATCATAGAATCACAGAATCATCTAGCCAACATTTAACAGAAGGTCTTGAATTCTTTCTAGAATATCCACAATATCACTTGAACATCTCAAGACATAGAGGACTCACTGGCTGATATCTGATAACAGACTTCCTGTAAACCAGAACTGACAGTTTCATGATAACAAATGGTTCAATATCAAGACATGGAAAAAAAAAACCCAAAACCCTGGCTCCCAGTAATAAACCACACCAAGGTTGCCGATTCAAAATAGTATTAATGATGGTGATGATTTTGTCATATGTAAAAATGTAACATAGATTTTAGCATTATGAGACCTGACACTATATAAATTATCCTTCTAGAATCTAATGACATTAAACTGATTCTTGAGGGAAATTTTGAATTAAATTTGTAGTTAGATCACCTATATAAGCAAGAACTACCTTAAGTCATTCTGTTCCTAGGTAAAACACAACCCTATAAGCTGATTCTTCACATTTATGCAGTATTTGTTTTTAGTTACCAAGATACATCTGTGGATTCTACAACTAGTGGCATGGAAAAAAAAAAAAGAGAGAAGTCTGCAAAGATTGAACAAACAGCATGCACTGTGGTATCCTTTATTTAAAAATTGTGCACTAACTACAGTCATAGTGTTCTCATTTACCATTCTGCTGGCACAGTAAACCCAGAGAACATTAACACAACCCCAGGAAGGCATTAACCTGTAAACATACAGATATACCACCCATGCACACACACACAACATACACGCACACAAAGTTATAGTCTAAACACAATTAAAAGTGATGAAAAAACACTTTAAATGCTCTAATTAAACCCCCTTTATTATAATAAACTGTGGCAATACTGTGGCTATAATAAAAATACTATAACTGTTTAAAAAGCAAAAAAGGAAAATACTGGCAATTTGAAACTAGCAGCAAAAAGCAGCTAAAAATAGAAGATAACAAAAGGCTGAGTAATACCAAATTTCTAATGCTGATACTGTGTAGGATTGCACAGAAGTAATTTAAAATTGGTTCTTAAGGAACTATTTAAAAGTCCCTTGTAATATTAAATTGCAGCACTTTACAAACAGTGGAAAGAAAAAAGTATTTGGATTGTTACACACACACGCAGAGGAAACATACTAAGTATATCAGTTTATGGTCTTTGTTTTATGACCTTCAAAAAGTTTTATAAGGAAAACATTTAAGTGCCAATGTAGTGAAAAAAAGTTAAAAATTCCTAAAGATGCAAGTCTGAGTGCATTTATCAGGTCTAAGAATATATTTCAAGGTTGGGCAAGGCATGATTGATACACATTCAAGAAGGACCCAGAAGGTAGGTCGAGCTCTTTGAAGTGTTGAGAATGAAGTTGGGTTAAACTCAGACGGTCTTGAAGGAGATTCCAAAGTATGTGGAGTTCTACAGCTGTTCTTTAGTTAAAATTGGTTTCATAGTGCCCAATAAATAATTAAGACTAACATTTCAGCAGACTGGTTTTCCTACATTCAGACACAAAAATCTTTACCACACATGCAGGCTGATATTCTGTAACAGCACAAATCAGAATCCTGGTTTAAGAAGAAATGCACATTAGCAAGGATTTTTTTTTCCCACGGGTTCTCATCCAAATGTCTGAAGCTGCTAGACATTTACAAAGAGGAGTAAGTTTAGATTTCCTACTAATTTTAGAAGAATGAAAATTTTCTTTTCCTAGGGAAGCCAGAGTCATCCATGAACAGGGGATATGTCTTCACCATCTAAGAAGCATAATGAATGTCCTTAGTACTGAAACTCATGTCAAGTTCAGATCTAGAAAACTGGCAGGTGGAATGGGGGAGAGAACTGGGAATTTCGAATGTCTACAGTGTGCTTTGGAATAGTGTGCCTCGTAAGTCAGAATGGCTCAACTGCTTTCAGAATGGATACTGCAGTACCAGAGAAGACCCAGCTCTGGGCCAGGGGCTGGGGGATAGACCTTCCATCTCCAGGGATTCTCTGGGCTGAGCTGTGGCGGCAGAGCCCAGAGTGGCCTTATTTCTCATGAGTGCATTCAGTCAGGGAATTTGTGACTTTGCCCAGATAAATATTTCCTTTGGTTACTTTCTTTCTAAAATCAATTGTTCAGGCAAGTTGCTGGTGATTTCCCTAAATGATATCTAGCTGCACCAGTATCTGAAGGTGCCAGCTAATTCAAATTAATGCCCATCAATAATGCTACTAGGTATCAACTGCTATTGCTGATGAACCAACCCCAAATGACCTAACTAGATAATCTATCACACCTGGTGTTTTTTTATCTTGAGTTTTTTGAGCTTTAAAGAAATAGTTCTTTCAAAATGACTTAGAAACTGCTTCTGTCTGGCTTTGTTTCACTCTTCCTCTTCTTCCTGTTCCCCCTCCCCTTCTCCTTCCTCCATGGTTTCCACAATGAGCTCTGCTGTGCAGGTGGCTTCTCCTAGACTGTTGACAGCCTTGCAGGTGTACTTGGCATCATCATCCCCACACACATCGCTGATAATTAGAGAGCAGTTCCCATCCTCATCGTAGTCTATCTGGAAGTGGCGGGACTCCCTGATTGACTGGTCATCTTTGAACCAGACGACCTCAGGGTCTGGGTATCCTGCATCACAGAGAGATAACACAAGTTGTAGAGTCTGTTACTCAAAGTTTCTCAGCAACTCATACAAGCAACTCCTAAGCTACCTCTATTGATCAAAGGGGTAAAGGAAAAAATCGTGATATTGGCTCTTAGGGTCTATTGATAATCCATGTCAGAATATGGGCACGTGTTGTTGAATACTAGTATCTGAAACCCCAAATAGGGTATTTTAAAGTTGTACATGTCCCACCTATGTTGGACTTTCACCATACCTCACTTATAGACAGATACAGGGTACCCCTAAAATTCTGCCCCAACTCCAACTAAATAGCTGGAGGCTAAATGTCTTCTTGGGTGAAAATAAAAAGTTTTGCCTTGCATAAAAGCTTAAACAATTTTAAATAAAAAAATATGAGTAAGAACAAATGGACACAAGGAATCTTTTGAGGGTCCCAGAAATGTTCTAAAATTGAATTGTAGTGGTGGTTGCATGACTATAAATTTATGGAAAGTAATTTTACTACATACTTAAATTGGGTGAGTCTTATGGTATACAAATTATACTCAATAAAGCAGATAACAGCTATATAAAACATTAGAAAAAATAATAGGTAATATTGCTAAGAAAAGAAAGCCTGCCTTAGTCTGATCCAACAGCAGGTAATCTGCCTGTTGATAACTGAGAATGGACCTCATGGTATCCATTAGCCATGTTTCTGTAAAGTTCAGTATCAAAAATAAATGAAACACACATACATACATATATTAACGGTGCATATATACACGTCACCAATATGTATGTGTGTGTATATATATATTTAAACATAAAATATATTTTATGCTATTTATATATTAAGAGCAACTGACTTGCTGTGAATATTGGAGAAGTATTTTTAGAGGAAAAAAAATGTAGCCCTGATTACAACTAAAATTGTACACAAAAAGTCAAGAATTCTAACATTCTTTTCAAGTATAATTTTGTTTTTATCAAAACAGCATCCATATGCTTTATTTTCTCATCAGGGCTCCACTCAGAAGAACCACAAATGCCAAGGAAATAATCCCAAAGAGAAAAGTACAAAAGATAATAATCACTATGTCATAATAATTTTTGTTTTGGTACTGAGGCTTGAACTCAAGGCTGACACCTTGAGCCACTCTCCACCAGCCCTTTTTTGTGTTGAGTATTTTCAAGACAGGGCCTTGTGAACTATTTGCCCTGGCTGGCTTTGAATCATGATCCTCCTGATCTCTGCCTCCTAGATTGTAAGCGTGAGCTACCAGCACCCAGCTACTATGTCATAATAAATTTAAAAAAATTATTTGCTTGGGTGTTTTTGGTGGCACTGAGGTTTGAACTCAGGGCCTCATGCTTGTTAGGCAGGCATTACTGCTTGAGCCACCCCACCAGTCCTACATCTTAAAAAATTAAAAAAGGGAAAAGGAAAGAACTTCAGAAGACCCAAAGACAATGGTAAGAGTGAGTGTCATAGGCTGTGGCTCCATAGTGTTTGGCAGAATCCCCAATCAGAGGAATTTCATATTAACAAAGGCAGCATGCCCACTTTTAAAAAAATCAGGTGAAGAAAGAAAAATTACAGTAGACAAAGCATTTACAAGGTATTCTGAAATATAAAGGCACAGGAGAAAACCTTTTTCCATTTCTATTGGTTACTTTATTCAAAAGGCATTAGAGTCACAGTGCTGGAAGCTCACATAAAAGTGGGAGGCATAGTTTGCTCTCACTGCTCTGCTGGGCTCACGGCCTTGGGGAAGTTGCTTCATAAACTTGTGCTTTACTCAGCACAAGATGGGAGATAACCATTCACTCTGGAAGGCAAATGGAAGTCACAGCCTTGAAGCCAAGAGGCCTGTCTTATCTTGCCCCTTATCTTTCTAGAATGTTGCAATCTGTGGAAACTGAAAGGCTTTGTGTTATTAATTCTTAGGGGCCAGGCTAAGATCCAATAAGGTCCTTGAGCTCCAATCACTCACAATTCTGTGACTGCATTATTCCTGGGGGCACAAGTAATAAGGCACAAATTGAGTGACTTGCCTTAAATGCCTGAGTCTCAACTTTGCTCAGTTTGAAATCCTGTTGTGTGCTTTCCCAGGGCACTTAAACACACCCCATTTTTCCCTTTATTCCATCACCTCTTTAAAAGACATAAAAAGTTACCCCCTTTTACATATGTGGCCTCTCAGAATCCCCAGGGCCATTCCGTATGTTGGATATCCTTTTACAGACAAGCAGCCTGAACTCAGCAGTTTAGATCACTGCCAAGGTCACACAGCCTGCTAATAAGCAGCTAAGCAGGCAACTCCAATTGTCTGCTCTTTGTGCCAATCTTTCTTTGAGAGCCTCTTATAGGCAATTCACGAACTTCTCAGGGACTTGTGAAGGCCACTTCATTACACGTGTTCCAAGTCCAGAGAACCGTTTTTAAGCATAGGTCTAATGATTGGTATAAGTAGATGAAGGTCAACAGGACCCCTAGGAAAGTTGCTAAGGCCACTAACCTTCAGGAAGTGGAAGTGGAGGGAGTGGCCCTTCAGAACTGGTTCCTCCCTTAGGGCCTGACTGTTCTGTGGTTCCATGCTGCAGAGACTTAATATCATGCCCAGGGCCCCACCACAGCCATCCCTGTGTGTGGTGAGGAGCCCTGGCTACAACTTACCTTCAATCTTGCAGTCGAATCTAGCTGCACTTCCCTCCACAACTTCTAGATCACGAATGGTCTTAGAGAAATAGGGCTTCACATGGGGCTTCTCCTCAGCAACAGCCTCGAGGAAAGCTTGGTTGACATCTTCTAGAAGACAGAGAGAAGAGGACCAGGCCATTCCTTCACTTCTGTCCTCTCCCCTAGTTTTAAAAGACTGACTTAAAAAAAAGTTGCTATAATTTAGCAAATAATGCAGCTTGGAGAAGTGAATCACAAGCATCCCTTTCTCCAGGGGATGAGTCGGCTTGCTGCCAAATGGTTTTTGGCAGCAGAGAGCACTGTGCCCCAAATGGGGAAATGTTCAGCCTCCCCCTTCCCTGATGCTGACACATTGAAAGGAAGTCATCTTTAAAAAGGGTTTTTGGCTGCACATCCTGCAGCTTCAGAATTTGGCTGAGGGCTGTGAAGAAGACAGAACCTCGCCACCTTCCTCACTCAGTACCCCTTTACTGTCCTCCTGTAGCAGGTTCTTCACCTGCCCTGAGAAGGAAGCAGTTAGATCCTAGAGGTACCTTCAACTTGCCAGTGTCCTGTTCTCCTGGCCTAAATAGAGACCAGGACAGTTGTACGACAGTTTCTTAAATGGAAAAACAGTTATGGACCAGGATTTGGGACAGGTCCAGGGAAAGCTGTAACTTGGAGGGGCTTCTATGTCCTCTCCCTCCCCTTCAGGCTATTTCTGGGTCACCTGGAGAGTGGCAGCAGTGGCTCAGGAGGGACCAGGCCCTTGTACTGCAGACTTTCTCCCTGACTGCAAAGAAGCTCTTCAGCAGGCAGCTAGCTATGGCCTTTGCCAGTTACCCTACCTTTTTTTTATGCACAAAAAGGGTCTAGGCTCACCTTCTTACCTATAGGTACTCAAAAGCACCATGAGTAGGGAAGAAGAGGTATCTCTGGCCAAATGAGATACCTCAAAAAGATAAGGGGCCAGCTGTGTATCACCTGAAGCAGGAGTAAACCATCTGTGGGAGATGGTTGGGTAGCATCCCAAAGGTGGCAGGTAAGGAGCAAGCTTTAAGGCTCCCAGGAGGGGCCTACTGAACACAGTCTGTTCAGTATGAACAGAATTTGGCTGAGGGCTGTGAGAAGACAGAACCTCGCCACCTTCCTCACTCAGTACCCCTTTACTGTCCTCCTGTAGCAGGTTCATCACCTGCCCTGAGAAGGAAGCAGTTAGATCCTAGAGGTACCTTCAACTTGTCATTTTAGCAGTATGAACGATGTGAAGGAATATAGACTATATAAGTAAATTTTTGTTCAAAACAAAAACCTAAGGACAGTAGAAAATGGGAGGATATTAAAAATATTATACTACTGTATATGATTTTTATTTTGTTTCTGCCTATCAATATACAAGTCTTGCTTTTGTAGTAAGAAAAAAAAGAAAGCTTTTAATTGTTCAGCATTTTTTTTTTTTTTGGCAGCACACTTGCTAGGCAGGCGTGCTCCATCCCTTGAGCCACTCCACCAGCCCCAAGAAAGCTTTTTAAAACTTTTGCTAATTTTACAAAATATAGGGAAAAGAATAGCTGATCATCTAGTTCTATCAGACAAATAATAGCTTTCCCTCTGAAGATAGTTAAGCCTAAGGTTTAACAATTAAAGAATAATTACTAGACTTAGTAGTTGTCAGGGCAACCCCAAAAATCCTTCTGCGTTTATCCTCGCAGGGTATATTAAAAAACAAAACCAAACCTCAAATCCTCAAAATGCCCCTCCATCCACCAACCCTTTCTGTCTCTCTAACTGACGGGGCCAAGTCCTCCTCGCACTCCTTACCTTCGGATTCTAGTTTCTCTGCATTGAGTGGGCTGGTCGGTGACCCTGTTGAGGATTTCCTGCCGCTGAGCCCTGAGATCATTGCCATAGAGGACAGTCTTCCAATGGCTCTCACAGCATTGCCCGTTTTCTGGAAAACAGACACGGGCTGGTCTCAGGCAGTGTCCCTGGTTCCAATGGTCAGTGCTTGGGGATCCGGGGAAGAAGCCCAGCCCAGGAGAAGCAGCTGCTCCCTGGACCCAGGGCCTCTCAAGCGAGCAGGCTAAAGGAGTGAGCCAGCCTTGCTCTGCTCACACTATCAGCATGTCCGAAGATGTTCGGAGAATGGAATGGGGCCTGGAACTGATGTGTGCGTTAATGTGACTAAACAAGGTCAACATGAGACAAAAACCCTTTTCATACTGTGCTTCAACTCCCATAAAAGGGATAGTTTATATAAAGCAACTGCAGCCTGTGACAGCTCCAAAGACTTATTGCTGACTGGGCCTTGGTCCGGCTGTTTCTCATAAAACAATGCCTGTGATAGGATTTTAACTGGTCCAGAAGACAGTTACTATAGATCCCACGGGTCCCATGCAAAAAAAAAGGCATTCTATTGACCTTGGACAGCCACTTAACCTCTCTGTACTGCAGTTTCCTTCTGTGTACAAGGAGGGGCTTGGGCAATTTAGGTCCCATTTAGTGCTCTTTATGACTCAGATATGTAAGAGATTTTGAGAAACACCCAGGCTGGCCCCAGAACAACTCTATGGATGTGCAGTAGGGCTGGCAGTGGTGCGTTCTTCCCTGGTGTTCACATGGGCATCTGGGAGAAGCACCCAAATGGGCACCTTGGGAGAGGACAGAAATTCTGCTGGAAAGGATCAGAACTTGAGATGTTTATTTCTTTGCATTGCGAAAATTCTAGCAAGTATAGGATTTAGGTCAAGAGATCCTCAAAGTGTGTTTCTCATCTTCTCACCAACTTTCTCACCATTTTCCTCAGGTCAGTGGGAATGGCTAAGATAAGAAAACTCAGGCATCACCGAGTCTTTCCATCCCTGCCCCCAAGCATCTTTCTTAGGCATCCAGAGACTGTTGTACCCACAGAGCAGATGCCACCACAGACTGGCTATTTTTCCCCTTCTGAGAGAGGAAAGAAGCAGCCTTTTCAGAGGCAGATGACTTGCACTCACTCATTGAACCTCAAGCTGTTCTGGCAAAGTCATTTTCCTACTGAATTAATTTTACATACTCACGAATTTCAGTGAAGCCTCACAGTTTTGGCTACCTGGAAAGCCAGTGTTTTCAGCAAAAAAGATTATTTCAAAAGTGAAGAATTTTAGGATGCTAAGGAATCATACACAAAATTGTGTGTGTGTGTGTGTGTGTGTGTGGTTTAAGCACAGACTGCTGTTGTAACTATAGTCACTTTCCTTCATGTCCCCTCCCCTCCTAATGTAGACTCCTTCTGTGCACTTTGGACAGACATTCCAACTTGCTTTGTCCTCTGACCATCCACCCTCCTGCACATAACACTGTGTGTTATAAGTATGCTTCTGTCTTTCTGCTTCTAATATGAAGTTGGGTCACTCTGAAAAGAACCCAGGAGGACACAGGTGGGGTATGATGAGAAAACAGTGGACTTGCAGAGAATGTACCTGCAGACTGAGACCATGTAGCTGCCTTTTAGACTCTTCTGGCTTTGATTGTGGCCTGATTGATCTGTTTGTTGTGCCAGTTGGATTGTGGACAGACCCTCTTCCCATGAGAGTCTACTCTGCCCTTGGGAACTGATAAGAAGGTAGCAGAGTACCCCCTGCCCCATGGAGTCAAAGTCTGACCAGCCTACTTCCTAACTAACCAAACTCTCAGACTTTGCTCTTTTCAGCTCTCTATTCCTTTTCTCCAATGGAGACTGATTTGCCCTGAGTCAGGAGTCTCTAAACTTGTGGGTTTATTGCCAACAAGAGACAAACTAGCTTTCTAACCACAGACTGCCATGTGACTTTGTACAAATTAGATCCCCTCCCTGGGACTCAGTGTCTGGATTCTAGAATCCAGATGATTCTGATCTCCTTGCAGCTCTAGTCTTCCCAGAAAGACTATGACTCATGCTTCTGAATGTAGCAGGGAACCCCCAAGCCCCAGCCCACAGGCTCCCTAAATCCAGAAGTCTACATTAGGACCAATCAGGACTGTCTTCCCTTGCATATGTGGAGAGATGACATCTTTTTTTCTTCTTGGTTTTATTTTGTAGCAAAATGACTAATATAATTTGAAAATATCAGAATGAGGCAAACAAAGAGTTATAATACTTCAGAGGAGGCAGCAAATACATTAATGAGCAAATAGTATCACATAGGGAAAATTTCTAGCAAATACAGGTATTCAGTATAAACTTTCTTGAACAGAGAGAAGTATAAGTACTTAATAAGGAAAATTTAAAGTATAATCTACATTGAAACTCAATCTTTGAAAACTGATTTGTGAAAAAATAACTGGTAAGGAAGCTATTTTGTCAGAACTAGAAAAGCAGTGTATCTGTATATTCTAGTCTTCTATTTTCATGCTGCTTTACCAATACCTTTGGAAACTACTGGAAAAAAGTCAAAACAGCAAAGTTTCAACCTTGATAACTTCCATCCTTGTTTTGAGAAAGCTTTTTGTCTTTGGAGGGCAATTGCCAAAGCTGTGTTCTTGTGTTCTTGATGGACCTGACAAATGCAGTGCAGGCACCCCAGCCCCTGGAGTACCAGCCAGAATGACCAACCATCTCAATTTGCCCAGGATGGTGGGGTTTCACAGGGTTAGGGTCATTCAGTGATAACATCCAGGTGGTTCCTGGCAAAGAGGCAAGCTGGTCACCAGCTATCCAGCAGCCAGCAATCCAGGCTCCACATATCCACTAACATCCCCAAGACTATAGTTTCCCCAAGAAGTACATAATAGCTGAATGTGATGGCCAAGAATAGTCTGTGCTATATTGAGTCTAATGTTTCTCCTCTGCTGCCCTTTGATCCACACTGCTGGGGGCCCTGTGGTTCCCAGAAAATAAAGGCGGCTACCCACAGGCTTCCAGTTCTTAGTCCTTTACTTGCAGTTTGCATGCGGAGGTCCTGTTATCCTGCCCAACTTATTCCCATTGCTACTCCTGACCAACATGTCTTTGTAAAATTCTATCAGTACAAACTTAAAATACACCATCTTTCCTGATAACTTCATTCTAAGGTCAGTAATATGATTAGTCATTTGTACCTACGTTAGCCTTGCCTGGAGAGATCTCTTCCCATGTTACTTCCTTTCTCCCAGGCCTTTTATGAAAACCACAACATGGGGACAGTGACAAGTTTCCTTCTAGAGATAGCTGTGACACTTGTGTCTGCTCAGACACCCCCCTCCCCCAGCACAGCCCACTCCTCCTGGAACCCACTGAATATAACTTTGGCTGCTCTGAGAGGCAACCCCTATTCCAGGGGGAGCTAAGGTTCTGTGACCGGAATTTATATGTGGAAAACATTTCCCTAAGGAAGCAACCTAAGGCAACAGGTCAGACACAGCTGAACTGTTCCCAGTGAAATTATGCTTCAGGGACATTATGTGCTGAATGAGATATTTTGTGGGCTACTTTTGTGTGCAAGTTTGTGAAATCTGACTGTTGATTTTGTGGAAAAGTCATTTCCAAATGCTTTCATCTGTAGGAAAATGGAATTAAGGTTCCGTTTTTGAATTCCACCCTTTCTCCCCACTCCACTTCCAGAAAACCCTATGGTAATGACATGGCAAATAACAAGAAAAGAAATTAAGTGATTAAAATATCAGCAGAAATGATAATTCCTTGACTGGCATGACTGAAACATTCTACTTTCCTCCTCTCCTGTGTTCCTACCTCTTCTCTGCACCTGCCTCTGGGGTTAGGCGTCCTCCTGGCTTCGAGCCACCTGCAGATGTTCAGAGGTGATAGTGCTGCCTTTTAACCCACAGCCTCATCCAAGCAAGATCCAGTTAGACTTGTTGTTGAGGACTGTCCTACCCGGCCCTATTTCTCCAGAAATATTTCTCTGTGCTTTGTTGGAGATCATTATCAACGTCAACCTTTGATTTTATGGACACCACCATTTTTTTTGTAAACAATATTTATGAATTTAATATTAAAGGCCCAAGAAGGTAAGCAGCACATATGTTTCAACTCACCTTGCACTTGAGGCAGGCAGGAGATCCACCCAGTCCTTCACAAAGATGGGGTGTGTATGCTAATGAGAACCATCTTTACTGAGGAGACCTCTGGCTGCCATGTGGTCCGGATGCCAGTCCCTCAGACCCTACCCCATGGGCCCTCATGTTCCTTTGTTCCCTCTTCAACCTGTATGTGAAGGTGTACTTCTCCAGGGACACACAGGCAAATCTCAGTGCTTCCAGGTCCACTGAATCTCCAGCTAAAGACTCTGCTCCTATTCAGTCCAGCCCAGCCAGAGTGGGCCCAGTCCCACCTCTGTCCTTTCCTCTACCTGGGCTATTGTTCCCTCCTCTCTGAGTTCTACCTCATGTCCCTGGGAGCATCTCCTCTAACCACATCAACTCTGGTGTGACCTGCCCCCTTTCTGTCCATACTCACTTATATGGTTATGGAGAGCTATACTGAAAGTTTATAATTCCTGGTGTACCTCATGTCCTTTTATGTCTATTTGCTTCAGTTCCCTACTGTGCTATACATTCCCTCAGTATGAAAACCATATCCTCTCCAGGAGTCCAGGAATTTTATAATACAAATTACAATGATAAAAATAATCAAATAGATGATGGTGGTGAAAAGTGTCCCATGGTTTTGGAAGACAGTTTGATTCATCTTATCAGAGGCAGTTCTGTGTTATTGTTAAGACTATGCTTTGGAAGCAGGTTCTGGGTTGAATGCTGGCTTTTCCACTTAGCTATGTGATCCTGGGTCACTTTCCTAACACTTTTGTCTGCCTTGGTTTAATATAGAGTGGAAATAATAATAGTATCTGCCTCTTAGGATTAAAAGACAATACCCAGCAGGTGCTTTGAGTGGCGCCTTGCCCCATGGTCCTGGAAGCACTTTGGAATGCTCACCACGTGCCAGGCATTATGCTAAAGGCCACAAGAAGAGTATCTCAAAGATTTCTCAATAATGGTGTGATGTTGCTACCACCGTCTACAGATGAGAAAATGAATCCACAGCAAGGTTAATCAACTCCTTGCTAAAGGATATACAGTTGCTAATATCCAGCCTCCCTAGAGTGTGGTAAGATGCTGCTGCTAATGTCTAGCCATGAAGTCAGGAACACCAACAGCTTAACCTGAGTAGGGGCTGGGTTACCTGGGCTCTCCCCTACCAGTTCCTCTGGAACAAAGATAAGCAGAGTTGAGAAAACAATTTCCTGTACTCAGGACTTGGGTAATATTGTACCTTAATAGCTGCCTAAATTGGTCCCAGACTATTTTGGAAACAAATTCAAACTTCTTTAGAGTGAGGCCAGGGCAAGTTGGGAATAAGTGAACTGAAGGAAGCAAATGTGAGGAGCAACATGGCGGTGCCAATGAGCCCGTATTACCTGCCATTTCCTTCTTGCCATGTACTTCTTCATCCGGTCCTTGGAGAGCTTCTTGGCCTCCATGTTCTTGGTGTCTTTCATCAGCCATGGATGCTGAAGGCACTGGGTACAATTCAGGCGGTTTCTGATGGGGCAGAGATCAGAGGATTGCTGAGTAGAAGGGGACCTTAGAGACTGTTGATCAAATCAGAAATGGGAGGTCACTTGTCCTCCCATTATATTATAGCGTATAATCAGGGCTTCTTGCACACAGTCCATCCACCATGATCAGGATCACTGTGAACTTGCCTTTTCCCTTCTGGTCTGGGTTGCACTGGCTGGACCCAGTACAAGCCATTGTTAAGAAGGCCTAGCCACCAGAACAGCACCCGGAGTCTCATGACCTTCTCCTAGGAAAGGGTCAGTGTCATAGGGCAGACATGTCTGGGGATGGCTGGGACCATATTCCAGGTTGGGATTATTCTGTTTGTCCCATGGGGACTGGGTCTATTGGAACCTAATCCTCTGCCTCCCCACCTAGGGGAGGGGAGAGTGAAACTCTAGGATAAAACCTCTCAGAATCACTGAACTCTTGTCTTATGGTGGGGTTGAGTATCAGGTTTGTCCTGTTACAGCTCAAAGAGGCGTGTCCTACATACAATTTATTAATTATGGCAACCTTAGAACTGCATTGAAATTCATTTAGTCTTTCTGAAAGCTTTGGGAACTTAGAAATATTTTAGGCCATCACCTTAATTATAACAGAACTAATGAGGCCCAAAGAACCAAATATAGAATATACATAGAAAAATGACTAGAAAGAAATATATTTTTACAATGTAGTACAGGTAAAGAGATTATGGGTTCTTTAAAACTTTAGATAAAGGGATTATGGGTGTTTCAGTTTTCTATAATTTATACATTTTTACTTTATAACAGAAAAAGATTTTTTAAAAATGCTGACAGATAAGAGATTTCTAGTTGGAGAGATCGGGGCACAAAAGTTATAGGAATTTAGGGTTTTGATCAAATTAAGATCAGCTCTTTCGTAAGTCCATTGTATGAGCACCAAGGAGGTTAATACAGCCTGTTACTGTTAGCATGTCACATGAGAAGGTAAGGTGTATACATAGTATCTCACTTACCAAATCTTCAGTGAATGAAGATTAGGTGACAAAAGTCATACTTGGGCCAGGGTTATTAAGAGGAATGTTTCCATCTTGGGAGTAGAGGATCCCTTACTTTGGAAGGGAATCTAGACCCCTATAACATCCAATTATTCTTAGGTTATGTTCACTTCTGACACAAAGACTATGACAGCAAAAGACTAAGAGATACAACTGTCAAGGAGTCCAGAATGTCTCCTAAGGGGAAGATGGGGAGGTTGTCCCTGAGATGGCTAAAAAGTGCTGAGAGGTGGTATGTACCAGGAGAACAAGACAGAGCTGTCTAAGAGATTCTCCAATGGGTTCCTTAGCAACTGTGCTCTCCTGGCTCAAACAGCATTCCTGCTAGGGGTTCCACAGACCAGGATGATAGGGAGAACCCAAACTACAATGTCACCTGCCAAAGCTGAGCCCTGAGAGGTGGCTGTCCCTTCCCTTCTGCTGCACTGGCTCCCTCTTATGTCAACACCACCCTGTAAAAGGCACAGTCAAAACTGCTCCCTATTGCCAAATCTGACTCAGATCCTCTGGAGCCAGATTCTGCCTCATCTGGCCATCTATTTACAGAGGTGCCCAATGGGCAGGAGGTCTCACCTGACATCCTCACTGCTCCCTGCCCTGGACAGTGCTCCCTATGCATGTAGAGACTTTTCACCTCTTTGCTTCCATTTCTACTCATCAGGACATAGCATACCAACAACACTGTGTAGCTGCTGCCAAAACCCATGAGCAGCCCACCTACAATCCACCCCCTCATCCTCTACTCTCGTCTCCATCCCAGCTCAACCTATAGTCTCGCTAAAACCCCAAGGGCCATGTACCTGGCCTTCCCTCCCAGCCTGGCCATCCACTGTGCTCTGTGTTAGAAGGAACTCAGCCATATTCAGACAGGCAGTTCTTAAATAATTAAGATGTGAAAAAATAAAAAAACCACCAAGCCAGAACAATCTGGGATATGAGAACCCTCCAACAGGTCCCACGCTGCCTCTGTCATCTGTGCATGGACATTGAGAGGGCGTGTCCACCATGAACCCTGAAAAGGGGCTTTGAGGGCCACAGACAGATACAGAAAATAAAAGGGACCATTGCATGGCAGCAACCCTCCCTTAGGGTTCGCCTTTCCAGTGAGGTTTCTGTGTTTCCTAAGATGGATATGGTGTTTGGCACCAGGAAGAAGCAGCCTGGGTGGTTCTTACCCCTCCCTGCATATACTGGGCTGGGTCTCCCAGTGACCACCCTCTCCTCCTCAGGGAACCCACGACTGGTGTGGAACTGGGGTGAGGAGGGAGCCCCAATGGCAAAGGAAAGCCTTGCTTGCTGCACCAGCACAGGGAATGGGGAGGCTAGCAAGACTGCAATCCCAACTCATTACTTCATGTCTTTCTTCAGCAAGTTGCTGATGAAATCCTTGGCGTCATCTGAGATCTCATCGAATGCTTCGTCATCGAAGTCCCAGGTGGTTGAGGTAACGTTGGCTAAGGTTTCATTATCATTGTCACCCATGAAGGGGGAAAGTCCACTGACCCTGGGAAAGAAGAGCAGAAAAACAATAATGAAGGGGAGGGCAGCGCGGAGGGAAGGGGGGTTGTGAACCCCCAACTGAGCACTGAGGTCAAAGGTGAGGGCTGGCAAAGTGCATCCTCCCTCCCACACCCCTGCCCAAGGTCATCCTGTGTGGCCCTTCCATCTGCCTTTCCTCCACCTGCATAAAGATATGAGTGTGGCTCTCCAGGGGCCTTTGTGGCACTGTTTTTTCTCAGTTGTTTCCCATACTTTAGGGGTATGCTGAGGTAGAGACTAGTCTACACATTTCCACATGGTACACAGCAGGGCTGAGCAGTCCCTCCACCCCGAAGTCCAGATTGGCAATTGCCCCTCTCAGAACCTGTGAGTCCTGTCCTCCTGTCTAGTCTCTGGGGAGTCACACTACATCTTTCCTCCCCTCTCGTCCCCTTCCCTCCACTCTCTCCCTTCCCATGCCCTCCTGTAACTCTTATTTCTTCATTTTACAGACAGGGGAACTGAGGTACAAAATGGGTTAAGTAACTTGCCAAAGGGTTTACAGCCAGGGAGATGTGACACTGGGTGCCTGACTCCAGAGGCTGCCTCTTAACTGCTGCTGTATGCTAGTATTTCCATGCAGATTATGGAAACTGCTGTGCTGAGGGCTGATCCCCAGTAAGGGCTCATCTGTAATCACTGATATTGTATGGTTCTTCTGGATTACCTCCACTGCCTTTCAACCTGTGCTCATGGGAAGGACTCCTTTACTAGTAGCCTAAGCCAAACACAATTTCTCAAAGCCAAATAGAAGAGTTATGGCTTACTGGCCCAGCCTAGGACTTCTGTGTACCTCCTTTTTTGTACTAGCAATGTCCCTGCCATGCATGCTGACCCAGGGCTGACCCCATAGGTGTGTGGTCTACACGGCTGCCCAGAGTCACACCCTTAGATGACCCCAGGCTTCATTTCAATGCTCTGCTGCCATCATCATGGAATGCTTAATAACATTTCAACAAGTGATCCCAGCTTTTGAGTTTGCAAATCATGTAACTAGTCCTGCCCTGACCCTGTCTGAGCCCTATGAGATGCATGAGGGGCCCCTGGACCATCCATCTCTTAAGTTGGGGTTTTATAAGCGTCCCTTCTCCCAAATCCTTATGAATCTATCATCATAAATCATAATGCACTAGTAGCTTCTGGAATTGTTTTGTCATTCAAGAGGCCTTATTTCATGAACTACACCTATACCTGAACACTGAGCACAACAGCCACTTGAAGTATTGGCAGAAAACTTGCCATGGGAGGAACCCTGTGGTGAACACTTTTACAAAGAGAAAACCTTTACAGATGTGAATTATCTCATCCATATTTGTGCTTTTGAGTAGTAGATTCTTGTAGATACATTGTATTAAAGCAAGACACTGATTTATGCCTTACGAAGGCAAAGAGAGACCTATTGTCAGTCATGTTTCCATGAGGTTAGGATAGGAGTTTACCAGTCCTCAAGTCCGCACTGTTACATGCTACCCCTTGCCCTTATCTGGGCCTCACTTTCCTCTTTTATAAACCATGGGACTAGGCTAGATTTCCTGGGGGCTTCCCAATCCCTCCCTTCTCTGCAATCCTGTGTGGCCTAAGCGGGTCCAATCAAGAAGCAGCCTGTCTCTGCTTGCCAGCTACCTGCTTCTTCTTGTCTTTACATTTTCCATTTGAAATGAGGAGGAGGAAGTCCTGCAGCACTCCAAAAGATGGCAGGAAAAGCAAACAACCCTGCTGTGGAATGCTGAAAGGGCCCCTTCTGCAAACCTGTTTTCCTAATTAGGAGCTGTAATCCTGCAATGATAGGTCTTAATCTCTGTGATGTTCACAGGCAGGGAGAGCCCCTGGCCTCTGGCCTTGGCACTTCTCTCTCCTGGCAGTACATCCATCCAAACAACTTCCAGCCTGGCTGGCTCCTTGCCTGCACAAACTCCCTGCATTCATTCTCCCTACTGAAGAGCCTGTCTCTAGAATAAAATATGGGATATATGCATACATAGCATGATGAAGAGAAGAGAGTGTTTGAATTTTCAGCAATTCACTGAGTAGCCCAGATTGGCCTCAAACTCTTGATCCTTCTGCCTCCCTCTCTAAGCTCTGGGGTTATAGGCATACACCACCATGCTTGGGTGGCTTTTCTTTTTAACTTTATTGTTAGAATTTGCATAAGGGATCACATGCCTTTATTTTAAAAATTCATTATTTGTTAAAAATTAACTAATCAACAAAAAGACCTAATGTTACATTAAAATACAACTCCTTTCCCCTTTTGTAGTCTTCACTAGTTTTTAACCAAGAAATTTATTTGCTTTTTACAAAACTGTAATCAGTCTGGGCAAGTACTCGAACACTTTACTTTTTCTTCACTTGACATCTCAAGTATGTAGAGTCTTCAGGTTCATTCTGAACACTGATGAGTCACAAGGTCACGACTTCAGAATGTTCTAATGTCCTTGAGCATGCCAGGCAAGTACTCCATCACCGAACTACACACTATGCCCTAATTTCTGAAATCTTAATTTTCCTGCAGCAGATTTCATAAGGGAATCTGGAGTAGATGCCTGTGTTGCCCTCTGGATTATACTTTTGCCATACTGTTTTTTCAAGCCACCGATGACCGTAGGAGACCACACATCTGCCAGCAGAACTACTGAGTTCTTAGGAATTGCTTAGCCTTCCCCCTATTTTAGCTCTTAGATACTCAGGTGGGGCTTTGAGAGGCCTGGGCAGGTCCACAGGAAGAGCTGAATATGATTCTGTGCAGTGACTGAGGAAGCAGTGGCCAGCGGTTCATTCACAGCAACCACAGCGTAAGTCCATGGGTGGCAAAACCCAAAGGTAATATTTGGATTCTTTAGATGGGAATCTAAGAGTATATCTGGGCTCCACAATGGAGAGGGCAGGTAGCCCTGGGCGGGGCAGGAAGGATATACCGCAAATGCAGGAGGCACCCCATGCTCTGCTGGGGCACTGGAACTCCTCCCCAGGTGACTGGGCTTCTGTCCCCAGAGGAGCTCACCTATCTCCCTGCCATACACACCTCCCTTCCCTTATGCCATCCTCTGACAATACACAAGGATGGGTGTGGCTCCTGGCTCTCCAGACCATGGCAAGTACTCCAAGAATGAGCTGAGTCGGAAGAGTTCATTACTGAGCCAGTCAGGAGAACCGTAGGGAGGGAAAGGGAGCAGTAACTCCTTTCCTTCATTTGGCGGAGGGGAAGGAGAGAAGGAATGGCCCAGAAGAGATGAGGCCTGGCATGGAGAAGAGTGGCTAGGCAGGGGAACACCAAGTGCTCAGAAAATAGGAAGGGGTGATGGCAGGGGGAAGGTTTTAGAAAAGGAGGCAGGTTTATAGTTTCACCTGGAGCTCCTCTGTACTCTCTTCCTGCCAGAAACCAAATGGGTTTTGCTAACTGCAGAAGGTCCCCAAGGGTTCTCTCCCTTCAGAATCAGGGGTGAGGGAAACTTTGTTGGCACTGAGCTGGCCAGTGTCTCCCATGCAGGGACAGAAAATGCCCTAATCTGACTGGGTTTGGGAAGTAAAGTCAGATCACTGCTTTTTTTTTTTTTTTGGAGGGACTTTTTTTGGTGGGTTTGAACTCAGGACTTTGTGCTTACAAAGCAGTCAATGTACTGCTTGAATTACACCTCCAGCCCATGATTACCCTGCTTTGATGTAATGGAGCTGTCCCTATCTCAGGAGGCACTCACCAAATTCATGTTGAATAACAAACACATTATCTGACTCTCTAACGTCCTGGCCTCACCATTGCTCACTGGCCTCAGAAAGGAGGTCAGAAGGGTGGTCTATATGAAGATAGAAGTGGACCAGAAAGGGACTTCCAGGCTCCAAAGACAGGGACAGAGCCAGGTGGAGGATGCCATGAAGGTGTCACAGAACCTCTTCCAGGTGCTTCCAGTATTGGCTCCAGAGTTCAGCATGGTGGGGGCTTAAGAAAGCCATCTAGTGGGACTTTTCTTTCTGGCATCACATGCTTTGCAAGAGCCCAAGGGGAAGGCCCAGAGCTGGACGAGCACTGAGGGAGCAGCCTGGAGGAGTCCCAGGGGGCAGTGGTTGGCTGATAGTGCTTATTTCTTGGGTCTTAACTTTTCAAAGTAATCAGAATAGACAATGTAGCATTGGAAACCAAACTACCGTGTTCCTCTACCTGAACAAATTCTCATTGTAAAATAATGTGCTCTTGTAACCCAGCAATTCTAGTTTCAGATTATATGTCCAAAAGAGATGCATAAGTATGCTTACTAAAAACACACATCAGGGGGTTGGAACACTAAATTGGAAGGTACTCAAAAACCCATCAACGCAGAATGAATATGTTCATCAAATCATAGTCACACAATGGGGTACTGCATAGTGCCGGGAATGGATGAGGCTCATGACGTTGAGTAAAAGAAGCCACGCATTTCTTTGTGTGTGATTTCATTTACCCAAAGTCCAAGAACAGACAGAATTAACCCTTAGCTACAGACATGAGGATGATGGTTGTTCTGTGCAGTAACTGGGTTGAGGGGCCCCAGTTTCTTGATTGAGCACAGGGTTGTGCTCACCGTGACGAGTTACTGAGCAGACGAGTCATGGCTGCCACTGACCAGTCCAGAGACCAGTTGTCCTGATTTGCCCAGGACTGTCCTTATTCTAGCTCTCAAAGTCCTTTATCCTGGGAAACTGTCAGTCCTGGGCAAACTGGAACACTTGGTCACTTGCCCAGACTGTGGGAAGTGAACAGCCACATGGCCTCTGATGGCCCCAGTTACCTTAATGCCTCAAGAAATCAAACCCATGCCATGACCCACTCCCAGGTTTGTGCTGAGTTTGAACAACTCATTCTTTGACTGTGAAAGTCACTGACAATAGACAATCCCCATGACATGGTGGTGGTAAGCCTACTGCAGCAGGCAGTGGAATCTAGCTAGGTCATAGAGTAACCTGACCAAGGACGACAACTGCAAGGCTGGGTTTCTGTAGGGCTTAAGGGTCAAAGTGAGTTCCAGCCATGTCCATCACAGTCCTAGAAGGGGTAGGCTGAACCCAGGGCTGTTACTCACTCACTGCAGCAGAGTAGCATCAGTGCAGTGTCTTTACTCACCAGCGCCCCCTTCTGGAGGGTGATGGCATGGGAAGAGGCAGGGAAATGCTTTCCTCATCCCAGGTTTTTTCTCTACTGATCTGGGGGTAGGTGTCATTAGGGGAGACCCCAGCAGGGAGGAAGGTGACTCTGGAGTACAGAAGCCACAGCCCAGGTCCAAAACGGAGAGATTCTGTTCTCAAAGGCTACATTGAGAGCAAAACTCCTGACGATGTACAAAAGCCTCACTGTTCAAAAGTCACCTCACTTATTCCAAAGCTTTTGTAACAGTGCTTTCTAAACCCTCTGGGCATCACCCAGAGGCTTTTCCCACTCTAGGATATAAGAAAGCATTCTGCAAGATCTCCCTCATACAAAATCATTGTGGGCTTTTAAAACTTTAAAAATTTTTTTTGCAGTGCTGGGTATCAAAGGGCCTTGTGCTTGCTGGCAAGTGCTGTACCACGCCCCAGTCCTTTCTCTTTTGTTGTTTTCAGATAAGTTTTTGTGCTTTTGCCTGAGTTGGCCTCATACCTTGATCCTATTATCTCTGCCTCCTGAGTAGTTGGAATTACAGGTGTGAACCACCAGGCCTGGCCTGACAAAAATATTTTTTAGTGGTTGCATACATATCTGCATCATTGGAGGGACCATCCCATAACTGTGTTGCCACACAAGTTCAGGGACTGCCTCTGAGGCAGCCTGAAGCTTCCGTGAGACCCGCCAAGTAAGTGTATTCTGGAGCTTCATTACTCCAAGTACATCTTTGGATAGCCTGGAACCAGTTAGATGTGTGGAATCCCAGACCTGAGTCAAAATCTGCAATCTGGGGAGGTCTAGATTTCTGACCACTCCTCTTTTCTCTTGCCTCCCTAATTTAAATGGTTTCTTACTTCCCACCTGATTTCCCATTTCTAATTACAGCACTGTTTTCTGTTGTTTCTTGGCCTCACTGAAGGCTCTATCATCGAAGGTGCTTATTAGTCAGCACACATACTTGAGTCAGAGGTGAGGCTGGTGTTTGGGGTCCCCATCCCATAAGGATGAGGACAGTGAAGATGCCAAAAAAGATATGCATCTAGGCTCCCTCCTTCAATGTGGACACACCTACACAAATGGGGGTGCCCAGCCATGTTTCCCCTCCTGACCAAAGGCCCCAGGCTGCCAACACTGGAGACAGCAAGGCAGCCAGCATGGAGTTGCTACAGAAGGGTGATGCAGGATGCTGACTTGCTGGGGGCAGGAGCAGGGTGGGCCCACAGGGATGGAGAAGGAGCCTGTCACTCTTGTCTCTGGGGAGAGCTCCCATCATGATCACGATGCAGGGCCCATGGTAAATGTCCTAAAACAAACCCCTTAATGGTTCTTACAGCATGGGAATCCTGCTCCAACTCTCACCTAAACCTACTGCCTGGGACCCGCCCCCCCCCCACACAGTGTCATGGCAGCCTGGGGATCTTCAGGTGGGACTCTCTGCCCCCACTTCCTGAGTGCCTTGGGACTTACAGGATATAGCAGATGACTCCAATGCTCCACATGTCCGTGGCATAGCTGATAGGTTCATAGTTGATCACTTCAGGAGCCACAAACTCTGGGGTGCCAAAAAGGACCTTCAGAGACCCCGCATTCTCTGAAACCAGGATGGAGAGGGTCAGCCACCAGTGCATCACAGAGTCAGTTCAAGGTAAGTGTCTGCCCTTGTCTGTATAAGGGCCTCAAGTCAGAAGGGACATAGATGAGAGCTTGGTCTTTGGGTGCTCTCTCCCTGGACAATGGCACAGAGACATGTGGCCTCCCATTTTACAAAAGCATCGGCCCACCAGGGAAACCAGAAAACCATCTCACCCCAAATGTCTGGGCAAGGCAGAGGTCATTTTGCGTGTCTGTCTCCGAGAGGTGGATCACACAGGCGGGGCTTGGTATCTCTAACATCCCCTGATTATAACATTTGCTATGTCCTGTGTGCCCTGCCACCAGCTTTACAAGGATTTTTAAATTTAGTATTCTCAACAATCCTAAGAAGTAGGTGTGACACGCACGTTGCGAGGACAAAAGGGAAGTGAGGTGATTTCCTGCCCACCTTATCAGTGGTGGTCAGAACCTGAAATCAGGATTGGGTTGATGAACCCAGCCCGTCACCATTCCCCACCACAGCCTCTAGTTATCCTATGCTTGCTTCATGGTTCTCCTCCCAGGTGCTGTTGGGGACAACAGTTGGGAGAGGCCCAAACCCCAATGCAGTGTATCTCAGTCATAAAGGGCCAGAGATGACCTACAGTGTGTGCTAAGGTCAGTACCCATTGCTGGATGATGTGTTAGCAGTGGGGGTGTACACGGCAGAGCTGTGACCTGGAGGCCACAACTTATCTTGTTTAACTCTGCAGGGCCCACAGTAAATGTTCTAAAACAAACCCCTTAATGGTTCTTACAGCATGGGAATCCTGCTCCAACTCTCACCTAAACCTGCTGCCTTATTTTAGCCATTTCCCAGTCATCTGGTCCTTGGCGGACAGCACTGTTTCCACAGCAGCCTTTCACCAGGGAACCTACACGCTGTGTTTACTGCCAGCTCCTGAGGCCAGTGCATGCCTGTTCACTCAGTTTATCAGTGTTACTGGAAATTTCCCCACCTGTCCCTATAGCAAGAGAGAGCAGGCAGGTTTTCCCAATGTCAAGATGGGCTTCTGGCCTGACTGCACTGACTGCCAGGCAAGTCAAGGCCTCTGAAGACCTCACACCCACAGTGTTCACAGTAGGACCAGTCCTGGTGTCCTAGGAGGAGATTCACTGTGTGTCATTAGCTTGGCCAGCTCCTTCCTGCTTCTTGTAGGATGGTGAAATAAAGGCCAGTTCACTTCAGCCCTGTGGCTCCTTGATTACAGGGCAGTAGCGAGAAGGGACAGTGATACTGTTTGCTTAATTACTGGGCCCTCAAGAGCTGCAGAGGCAGAATGGATGCAGGCAGTGAGGCGAGACAGTCACTGACCAAAACAACTTCAGAGCTGGGGATAAGGCTCTGTCCATCTGTCCCCATTACCTCCCTCTTGCTTAATGTGCAAATAGGAGAAGGGCTTCAGAGCATCCTGAGCTAGGCCCAGGGTTTTCATTCCAGCCCCTGTACCTGGCTCACAGTGAGACCTGCTGGGCAAGGCTTGGTGAACCCTGGTCTCCTAGTTTACAAATGGGGACTCATAGAGTCTGCCCTGCCCACCTCTCTCAGTGAGAATCAATGAGACTGCTTTTATTTTTATTTTTAATGCAGAAGTGCTCTGGAAACTACAATGATGCAGATGTGAGGAGCCACCGTCAGCAAAACAAATTTTACCACTAGTAGCCTTATCATTACCAAATAAGCATCAAATACTTATGCAATGCTTTCTACACACAAGGCACTTTTGCTGTCACTCTACCTGTATTAATGGCTTGGCTGGCCCACCTGACAACCCTATGGTAACTGCTATTATCCTGTCCTACAGATGAGGGGTTTGAGGTTACCATTCACACAGCGGTAGGCAACAGGGGTGGGATTAGAACCTGAGCAGTCTTCACAGTCTCTGACTTTCACCCCAATCCTATACATTCCTCCTAATATCCAGTGTGTGGAATATAAACAGCCACTGCCACTGTACATCAGTGACAAGAGGACTGGTGGGTTGGTCTTACCCAGCCTCCGGGCCAGACCGAAGTCGATGAGCTTGATCCTGGTGCCCGTCTTGTTGACACACATGATATTCTCTGGCTTGAGGTCCAGGTGCACAATGCCCTGCTTATGGATGTACTCCACCCCCTCCGAGATCTGCCTCATATACTTGATGCACTCCCGCTCTGTCAGCTCAAAGTCCTCGTCAATGATGCGCTCAAACAACTCACCTCCTGAAACGCTGCAGGGACAGAAGGAGGCAGTCAGACCACATGATCCTGGGGGGGAGGTAGAGGCAGTGGCTGGCCAAGGAAAGCTGTGGGGAGAGGCACTTCCTGTAGCTTCCTGAGACCCAGTGTTCCACCACAGGAGGAAGATCAGAGACTCCTAGTTTCCTGCCCAAGGGATCCTGCCCTGCATCTGCTGGGGGTCTCAGGGAAACATCTGAAATCAGAGAGGCTCTCAGGGCAGACAATTTTCTCAGAGGTGGGTGTGAATAGAGAAATTCAGACATGATCTTAGCAGAGAGGGTGACTACAGGGCAGTCTCTTTCCCTCATGTGACAAGGATGCACAGGGAATGTTCTTGTACCCAGCTGGGTCTTCTAGTCACAGGGAACTGAAGTTTAAAATATTCACAGTTTCTATAAGCATCTATTTTGCACAATTAGGAACAGACAAATATCTTTGATAATAAGTAGCTTCAGTAAATTTTTCTGCAATTAGTTGTCTGTAACCCATTGGACCTGCAGTGGTGACAGATTTGCTGACTCCAGCAAATCATTTTACTTCCTTTAGCCATGACTAATCTGTCTTGCAGGGATTCTTTCATGCCCAGGCTGGAGGTATAATTCTTTCTACCTAGTAGACTTTGGATCCTGCCCATGGCTGATCCCCTCTACTTCCGGTGCCCATATCTTGGGGGTCCTCTGCTAACAACTATCTCAGACCTCAGTTGATCAGCATATCACCTGTCAGTGCAAATACATGGCCCTGCTGCCCAGGTTGCTCAGGTCCTCTCTGATCCCTTGTCCCAGCCCTTGGACCCACCTTCCTTGCTCACTAGTCAGGGAAGAGTGTATTCCTGGTAACTTACCCAGTTTTCTATAGCAGGCTGTAGTTCACCAGCTGGACAACATTAGTGGGCTTTGTTCTGTGACTCTCCTATTATAAGGGAGTCCCTTCTCTAAGGTAAGTCATTGTGAAGAGAGGAAGGAGCTGAGTTTGAGTCCTGTTCCTGCCTTTTAAAAGGTTATAAGCTGTGTGACCTTCGGCAATTTACTTAAGTTTTCTGAGATTTACTTTTCTTATTTTCATGCCTGACACATAGGAGGTACTTGGAACATATTGTTTGGCATATTGTGGGAGGCCAGGTAGAGCTTGTCACTGACCTTTGTGGGAGAGACAGACAAGAGTGCAGTATGGAGCCCAACACACCACAGCCTGTCTATCTTCATCGCCACATGACCCTGCAAGAAGGGCTGAGCTTGGAAGGGTCAGTGTGTGACAGTGGCCAGTAGGGGGAGCTAAAGCCATCGCTTTAGAATCAACCCAAGAAGAAAGTCCCTGTATGACCAGCAGGTGGTACCACTTGTCCTGAAGTCCTCCATTTCTACAACTTTCCACAGGGATCCAAGACAAACTCAGCCTACCTCCATTAGGCCTCAGCCAATTCTTAACATCTCTGTGTCTCAATTTCTTTATCTGAAGATAAAATAAAAGCAGCACTGCCTCACAGAGTTGCTGCAAAGATGGAATGGGCTAATACGGAAGGGTGCCTGGTATACAGTAAGTGCATGTTAATTATCAATTATTCATTTTAAAGAACTGTTTGGGTTCTTGTTGAAAATACAGAGTCCCAAGCTTTTCCCTTGGATTTATAAAATCTTGAGAGGGATCTGAGGGCTCTCTTTTTTTTTTTTTTTTTGGCTCAGTACTGGGAAATGAACTTGGGTCCTTGCACTTGAGCTCTGTCACTTGAGCCACACCCTGCCCTTGAGGATCCATTTTTTTTTTTGGTGGTACTGAGGTTTGAACTCAGGGCTTCATACTTGCTAGGCAGGTGGTCTACCACTTGAGCCACTCTGCCAGTCCAAGGACATATTTTTAAGAAGTCTCCCAGGTCATTCTTATGATCAGACACACTGGCTTGTCCACTACCGCTCCAGAGGAAACTGAAACGTTCATCCTCAGAGAAATCACTCCCTTGTGCCCCATATGAAATGATCGTTTCCTCCCTGGGTGTCCATGCCTTATCTCTGCACTTTTTGTATCAAGCCGGCCTTGTTTGCCAACCTGTCTGCAAAAGGTCTGGCTCATCTCCAGGCCTTCATTTATACCTGGCAATATCTGGCACAGACAAGGAGCCCCAAAATGTGTACTTTTAAATTTAAGATATTCTGAGAAAGCAACCATTATTTTCAGTGTCCTTGGGAATGTCTGAGAAATGAGTGGTAGATATCCGAGGCATGGAGATACTTACTGCTGAATTTCTAGAGGTAATTTACTCAATGTCATCTCAAATAGTTTCATCCTATACAAATATATTTAATATGTCTTGAAACTATTTCTATGGTCAACTTCCTAGCACAGAAGGAGTTAAACAATTAAGATTCATGGCTTTGTGAGTTTCCACTCAAGACCGTGGGTGGAAGGTGTTGGTTTGATAGAAGTCACCACCCACAGACATGGGTTAAGATTGGGACAGAGCAAATGTGTGCTTAATAAAGTGATAGAAATGAGTAAATGAATAAATATGTACTGTCAGCAACACTACCTATCCCAAGGGACCAGACCTATCCTCAGAGCTCCAGGCCTTGGCTAGTCCTCACTAGCAACCAAAAGGAAAGACACTATCTGGAGACTCAACACCCAGATCCTCTGCTCCTTGCCTCACAGCAGTCATCTGGATGTTCTTTGATGAATTCTGCTAACTGTAGAACAAAGGTGAGGCCAGCCACTAGTGACTCAGCTGAAACTTCATATCCTTGTCAGTGCTCAGGGTCTTACCACCACATAGAAGTACTAGTCCAAGCTCCAGGCTGGGGGCCAGAGGACCCCTGCTTCAGAGCAATGCTGCTGTATGGTGGGGGCTTGTCCAAGAACCTGAAGTCAGAAAGGATGAAGACACATCCATTTTTATTTCCTACATGTCTCAGGCAGCTGGACAGAAGGCTGGAACCCTGACTACATTTTCACTTTTCTGTATGACTAGGCATCACTTCTCTCTTACCCTTATTTTCTTTATGAAACAAGACTAGCAAGTTGCACTGCTGATCATCAACTTCTCTCCTGTCTGTGGCCAGGTCTTAAACTGGTTAGGCTGGAAGGGACATACAGATGTACCATGAGCCCGATCCTCTGGTTCTGTGCCTATCAAAGGGCAAGCTCTGGACCCTTGATCTTCTGGCATCTGAGCCTGTAAGACTTGCTCCTGTCCGTGGGGAGGAGTGGGGTGGAGGGATGAAAGCCAGACCAGCTGAAACCTCCTTACGTTTCTCTCTGATTTTTCCATACAGCTTGCCAACTCCTGATTCCATGCTAAGTATGGTATTCTGCCCACTGGTGTTGCTGCCCAGGCTCGGCTCCTTCTGTCCCCTCTCATGAACTTGCTCAGGGTTTAACTTCTAAAGATAAGATGTTTCTCCACATGTCCTCACATGCCCACGCTGCCTAGACTAAGAAACCTATTCTAGAACAAATGGAAAAACTGCAGCTCAGCCAGGTGTAGTGGTACATGTCTATAATCTCAGCTATTCAGGATGCTGAGGTAGGAGGAGTGCAAGTTTAAGGCCAGCCTGGGAAATTTCGTGAGAACTTATTTCAAAATAAAGTAACAAAAAGGTCTGGTTTAGCATGAGCAAGGCCCTGGGTTTAATCCCCAATGCCATACAAAGGGAGGGAAGGGAGGGGAGGTGAGGGAAAGGGAAGGAAGGAAGGAAGGAAGGAAGGAAGGAAGGAGATAAGGGAGGGAGGGAAGAAATCTGCTGGCCACAGGGATATTGAAAGGCTGTGATGAATGAGGCCAGAAATGTGGTTCAGTACTTTTTGAAAGTGGGTAGTAGGGGTGGAGTTTGAATTTGAGCATAAGATACAAATAAAGATTTTTCTGAGTCTTTTATGATTCCATAGAATAGTAGAATTTTATAGCCAAATGGGAAGCTTAATTATTCAAATCTAAATAAATCTTTGCTGGTAGTATTGAACAATTACAAAAGCACATCTAGATGGTAGTGAACTTAAGGCCATGCTTCCTGAACACTAGGGAAGTTTTGTTCCATGATAACTGGTTGAATGTTAAAATGCTCACAAAATACTTTTAATTGGAAAAGGCCAGGATATAGAGCAAGCCAATGGATCATGCTGTGAATAGGCCCCATGATGGAGCATGGTGCCTTACCAGCATTGTTCCACATCATCCCACAGCAATCAGGAAGGGGTTTAACTATCTTCTTTTGTGGATAATAAAAACGTAAGGATTGGTACAGGTTAAGGTCAAGTAACAAGTAAGAGGTGGGGCTGGGATCTATAATAGGTTATCTGACTCATATCTGTACTCTTACTCAATCTTTGCTTGTCCTAAGAAACATATTCAGAGTGGAATATGACCAAATGTTATTGCAACGAGGGGACAGAAAAGGGTACCCTCCACTCAGTCCTCGTCTTTCCTGGGGAACAATGTCCAGATGGACTGAGATCCCATAGTTCAGGATGCACCATGCAATTCTAATATAGCTTTAAAATTTTCAAATAAACATCCTCTTTAACCCAGTGTTCCTTTACTACTGGGAATGTAAACCATATATATACATGAGTAAAAAGATGTATGTATAAGGTTACAAATAATGCTCCTTTGTAATAGCAAAACACAGAAAGCTACCTGTCCTCTTATCAAAAGCAAATGGCTTAAATACACTGCAATGTAACCATACAGTGAGGTCCCAGTGAGCTGTGGGAATGAGGCACTGACTATCATACCAATTTGCTAATAAATGCACTATAAGTTGCTTTTTGTGTTAAAAGGCAGAAGAATTAGAATATACATGTCATGTGTGCTCGTAGTTTAATAAAGAAACCTTGGAAAAATACATACAAAGCTAATAAAATTGTCTATCTCTGGTAGTAGTGGTGGGGGTAGAAACAGTAGATGGTGTACAGGGGTGGGAATAAGACTTTTCACTGTGTATTTTCTTACAATTTTTGTATGTGATTATATATTAAAAATCAGATTGCAGGGCACTTGCCTTACTGATGCCAGTGTGTATTTGTGTGAGTGTGTGTGTGTGTAGGAAGAGGACTGGGAGTAGAGGAAACAGTGGATTCTGGGAAAACCCTGCCTGGAGATCATCTGACCTATCCCCCTGCCTTTGCACAACTCAGCAGAGAAAGTGATACTTTGATGAGCAAGAAACCAAAAAAGCACAAACAAAGGAACTGTGCAGAGGCACAGTGAAAGGACTTGGAGCAATGGTTCCACTCCTGGACTCTGAGCCCCCAGGCCTGGGCCCCCTTCTGTTTTGCAGGGAAGTCAGGAAGCTGCCCAGTCCCTTTCCTTCCACCTTGAACTACCTGCAGGTGAGAATGCCTCTGCGGGAAACCAAGACACCAGGGGTAGCTTTGCTCTTCCATGGAGAATGAGAGGGGAAAGGACACAAGGGGTCCTAGAAGATCCCTAGTTGTGGAAATGAGCTCAGGACTGCAGGTGGGCTGCAGTCAGTGGGTCAGGTGGTTCTGACTCCCATTGGCTGGCCTTGGCATAGACTGGTGAGCGTCTTGTCCATCACACCGAGTGCAGCACTTCCCAACTTGGGACTGTGTAGAGGTGGGACAGTGGGGGGCACAGGCAGGAGCTCCCAGGCCCACAGCTCCACTCACATTTCGAGGACCATGACAATGTTGGCCTTTTCTTCGAAGGCGTCCACGCACTGGACAAGCTTGGGATGGTGGAGACAGTTCATGATGCTGATCTCCTGCCGGATATTCTCTTTCTCTTTTGCTGAATAGGCCTTGAAGAATTTCCCTGCCCAGATTTTTCCAGTTTTCTTTTCTACAAGTCGAAAGACTTGTCCGAATTTCCCACTGCACACAAAGGGAAGGAGAGAAAAGTTTAGCCAAGCTCTATACTAAATTAGGGGTGGCAAACCATGGGCCCCAGGACAAATCAGACCCACTTCTTTTTAAATTTGAGGCTGTATTGTAACACAGGTATACCTACTTGCTTACATATTGTCCATGCCTGCTTTTGTGTTATGATGGTACAGCTGTAGCTGTGACCTGGGGACTGTATCTGGCCCTCTATGGAAAAAGTTTGCCAATCACTTCTCTAGATCAATAAAGTAAGTTAATTTCTAATCAGTCTTGGTGGGTGGACTTCCTTTCCTTTCCCTTCTCTGCAGAGGAACCCAGGAAGTTGGGTTGAGGTCATTATTCCCAAATACAGATTCACTGAACATGGATGCCCTAGAGACCTCCCAGGAAGGACCCGCTTCTGCTTGCTGGGTAGCTGGAGGTTCCTTTGGAACATAACTCATTCTGACTCCTTTCCCAGAGCTGCTAAGAGGACTGCATCATTCCTTTGTTTCCCAGAAACCTCTGGAAATAAAAGCTGAGTCCCATTCCTTTTCTTCCTCCTCCCTTACACTACTCCAGGGAACGAGAGTTAGAGAGACATGGATTGAGCCACTGGTATCCTCCACATCCCAAGGAGTAGGCAGAGTCAAGGATGAGGAGAAAGTTCATCTAGGGAGCTGTAAAGACCACTGTGTGTGTTAATGAAACCCTGAAACTAGTACTGCTGGACAGCAAGAACTGACCGGGCTTAATCACGTCTTTTTTTTTTATTATACATTTAAATTAATAATATAAATAATGGGTTTATTATAACATTTTTATACATGAATATTATGTACTTCAATCACATTTACCACCTCCGTCCTCTTGTGGTGCCCCCCCTCTCGCCACTCCTGCTGGAGGCTTGACCACTTCTGTGTAAGGGACCCTAAATGGAATCCAGTCCAGATCCAGTGAGTCCTGCCTCACTGCTGTGCTGTGCATGGAGGCAGAGAAAAGGTAGGCCATGTCCAAGGTTCCCACAGAACTGCACCTGAGCAGAGCTGCAGGAGCAACTCCAAAGAGAGCCCAGCATGAGGGAGGGGATGTATTTGTGGGCTCATCCCTCCCTACTGTGTAGAATCTCCAATTGAGAAGGAGGCTGAGCCCATGATGGGACAGGAGGAGACATTGGGATTAACTGTGAGAACTGTGCCACCCTCACCCTGGGGACCAGAGGCAGGTTCCCACACCACTTACGATCCTAGTCTCTCTTCAATGTCATAGAAGTCAGATACTTTTTGTTCAGTATTGACTGTCACCGTCCGGTAGTCAACCTCGGGCTCCTTCTCATCTACAGGGCATAGGTCATGGTTAGGGTGAGTGATCAAATCCCCTTTCTCAGTCCCCTCCAGCCAAGAGCCTGTTCTGAGGATGGGTGGCTGCACTTACCATCATCTGACACCTCCACTTCATCCTTTGGCTCTGGGGGAGACAAGGAGGAACAGAAAGGACACAGTGGTTAGTACTAAAGGCCATTGAGACTAAGGCATCTGGGGGTGTTACTGGGTACCAGTCTGCCTGGGCGTCCTCTGGGGTTGGTCAGGGCCAGGTACAGACTGGGAGGTTCTGGTCTCCTCACTCCAACCATCCCCACTCCTCCGCTAGGTCTCACCTCCATCCCAGCCTGTCTCACCCAAGAGTCCCTAGACATGTCCTGTATATCTTCCAGTCCCTCTGGACTTTCATGAACCAACACACAACTGTGACAATCCCTTTCTTCCCTGGCTTGAAAGTCAGCAACTTACAATTGCTGCCAGTGTCAAATTTATTATGGAATTCTAGTAGCATAGCCAGCATCATGCCAGTTATGTGAGCAAACAAAACAAAACACACACAAGGCCTGGTCTGGCCTTCCTTCTTGAAGCTTATAATTTAGTTGGAGAGACAAAAACATATATACTCAAGGTATCAATTACAAAGTATTATGTAACCATCAGGGTACAAACTGAGTGCACAATGGAGGAAGGCGACATAAAATGCATCAAGGATAAAATCAGAGCCATTATTCTCAGAAGAGGTTGTCTCTGTGAGCTGTATCGTCCAGGAGATGATGGAATGCTGTGAGAGGTGAGTGATAACACACAGATGAAGTTGGCAGGTGTACATGAGGAGGGACATGAGTGGCCTACACTAACTGTTCTCATGCATATGTCAGGAGTGAAGTGCAAACAAAGGGACAGGCACAGCGAGCCCAGAATACACCCACTTCAGAGCCTTAGGCTTTCCTTTGCCATGATACACATCTGCCCCCTCAAAAATAGGGCTGCTCTGGCTTCCTGAGCTTGGCTAAGTGCTTTTCCCTTTCTGGGCCTCGGTGTCCTTGTGTGCAAGAGGAACAGATTGTACAGTGACTTCTAGGGGCCTGAGCAGCTCTAGAAGCAATGTTGCATAATCCTCTGTGCTCCTCAGCCATCATCTGGCCATGTTCTGGCTGAGAAGTAGACGAAGGGAGGTTTCTGGATGAAAGGAGCAAGGATGTGACAGAAATCAGAGGGAGGGAAGGGACTGCTAAAGTGTAAGTGTGTGAGTATGTGTGAGTATTAGTGAATGAGTGAGTGCATGTGTGTGTGAGTGGGTGTGTATATGTGTGGGTTAGTAGGGGAGAATGTGAGAGTTAAAGGATAGCATGGGAAGTGTGAGTGTGAACATGTGCCTGTGTGTGAACATATGTGTGGGATACTGTGGGAGTGTACGAATGTGTGGATGTGTGTCAGTGTGTGACTGAGTATGAGATGTACGTGTGAGGAGTGTGGAGTACATGTGACTATTGGGGGGAAGAGTAGAAGTGTGTGAGAGTGACTTGCAGAAGCCCCCAGTGAAGCAAGGCTGGGGGAGGAAGGGCAGCTGGTTGGGGATCATGTCTTGAGAGGGGACCAATGTGTTGGGATACTGCTGAGCTCTGCGGTGCTTTGCAAGGTCCAGTCTTGACATGAAGAGCAGGTGCAGCTGGACCTATGGATGGTGAATCAGACTGGGGGCAGAAAGGACACTGGAACCTAAGCAGTCAGAGGAAAGTAACCCAATCTGTGTAGGATAAGTGCCTTTGGCGGAAAAGTAGTTCTAAGAGTTTATGAGCATAAACCAGAAGCTGTGATCTGTTTAGAGTTCTTAAAATGCTGCTGACGAAGTTTAGTTTTAGAAAACTAAACATAAGGGGACTGGGAAGGATTACAGAAAGGAAGCTGCCATGGAAATAAAAAAGGGGGACAGGCAAGACTCAGGGTCCTGCTGGGAAGTAGTAGGGGCAGGGCTTCACAGAGGCTGCTGGGATGTGGGACTTATCGATCAATGTTTCCACCATGTGCTGGGCATTGAGTGGCACTGTCAAACTCACCAATGACAAGGCTGACATAAGAGCAATGTGCCTGGATGCAGTAATGCAGTCAGCATTCAGGGAGAAAGGAATCATTCTGCCCTTGTGAGTGACACCTGTGGTATGTCACCTACTGCTCTGGATGACAGAGTGCTATCACTGGGGATAACAGGTATGATTACTTTGTGGCCCTTGGTAGAGACTTGGGTATCTGCTCCCAGGACTCTGGCTCTTGGCAGTCAAAAGGCCATGATGGAGCTGGGTGAGGTACAGAAGGCCACTGAATGTAAGACAATCGGAAAAGGTCATGTCTTTCCAGTTGGGAAGGCAGTCATGATTGAAAAGGAAATCACACAATTGCCAAGGGTAAGAATAGCACTGTGAACTGTTCATCAACTTGCGAATACCATGAACTGAGGGAACCATTCGCACTACGCCTCACATAGACAAAGGACGTAGACATGTGGAAGTCACACCAGGAGGTGCCACAAAAACGAAATAGGGTCAATGGATATTCAGGTTATTTCAACGATATTCAAATGGAGTTCTGAGGGAAGCAGAAGATTCAAGGGCAGCTTTTACTGAACATATGGTTGATGGAAGTCCCCAACCCAGGTCTTGGAGACAAAGTATTTTCTGTCAGGAAGGAAGGTCCCATTGTCCTGACTTGTAGGTGCCTGGTCTGAGACAGTGGTTCTGATTTACTGAGTACCTTTTATTTTCTTGGTGCCTTGCCTCATCTTCCTGGGGTGGCAAGAGGACCAGAGTGCTCTGAGCAGCTGAGAGAGAGAGAGAGAGAGAGGGAGAGAGAGAGAGAGAGAGAGAGAGAGAGAGAGGCAGGTTTTTCTTGGCCTGGTTTCTCCAGGGAGTGGTTTGTGCTCTGCTAGTGACAGAGTTCATAGTGCTGAGAGCCACGAGGGCCCTTCCACCTGCCACGAGGGGCTTTTCCCAGTCAGCTTTGGAGAGGGCCTCAGTTCTGGAGCTGGCCTCTCCCTGTCATTCTGACTATAGCTAAGCAAAACTGCAGAACTGCAGAGCTGGCCAGCTCCCTCACAAACGCCATACCTTACTTCTTGCCTCTTCTTTTGCCTTAGTTGGGAGACCAAACCCCTCTCCTTAGGGATTCAGCCCCTGAATGCTACTCACTGTACTGTGCAGCCTTCTCTCTAGGGAGCTCTCAAGACCTCTGGCTGCTGCATCCCTATCTGCCATCTCCTCATCCTGCTTGAGAACCAGGATGACCAGAGTGGAGGAGTGGGAGAAGAGTGTGTGGGGGAAACCACAGTTCAGCCAGCACAACTCTTTGAGCATAAAGGGCTGTAACCATTACAAAAGGAACTACTTTATCTTTTTCACTACGGAAGGAGCTGAAATTGCAGAAGAAAGCACTTCAGCTAAACATTTTAAAAAAATTATTTAGAATGAGCTATGAAATACAAAAGCTAAGTGGAAGAGCTATTTGGCAGAAGGTTCTGAGATATTTCTCCAAACAGATGAGTTGTAACACCCTGGGAGAGGACTAGATGAGTGCTAAGATTCACAGCATGGGGCCTGTCAGTCCTCAGGACAGAGTACTGACTCTTGTTATCATTGAGGACCCCTGCATGCCCAGTGGGCACTAGAGGGCAGCCCGGCCCCAGATACAGCTTCTGGGAGCCTGGGATGGAAGAAACCCAAGTTGTGCAGCTCTAACTGCCCTCAAATTGCAAGAGGCCCAGCTGGGCAGGAAGCCTCAGCCACAGCTGCTTTGCTAACAGCGATATAGCCTATAACAAATTAGGATCCAAGAGCCAGAGCAGGATTAGGGTGGGAGTAGAATCCAAGATCTGGCTGGAATGGGATGTCAACATGAAGACTATGTTCACTTGGGCTTAAGGAGACAGGGCTGGGAGCTATCAGGCTAAGGATCCTAGTCTGAGTGGTGGCTCTGGTGTAAGGAAGCCACTAGGGCTGATGGGAAGCCCACTTTGTCCTCCACTGATCCCCAGTACCCATGGCAACGCATGGAGCACAGCAGGGTGCACCAGGCCTGGGGGGAATGAACACATGCGTGAGGGCTAGGGGTAAACAGAGATGGAACCAACGATCAGGATGAGTAGAAACTGAAGTTGATGAGGCAAGGGGCAGAAGTGGTGGTAGTGGTGAAGTCAGAGCCAACATTAGCTGACTTTTGTAGAGCAAGGGTTAATTGGTGCTGTTTTTGATATAACTCTCATAGCCCACCGCTCCACAGAAGTGATCTTTGACTCCTAATCCAGCCCACTCCCATCTCTGAGAGCCAGTCCCCTTTTAAGTAGAGAGAGGTGGCTATCTTGCTTAGAACTTACAAGCATCTGAGTAGTCTGAAAAGGACCTTTGCTTAGGATCCCACCCACCCCCATCCTGTCCATTGCCCTCAAGCCCAATGCTTGGCAACTGTTCTCTCTCCCTCCTCTCCTTTGGATAATCCAGCTGGGCCTGGGGTGGGAGCAGCTTCCTGTCTGGAAGCCCTGGGTGGCCTGGACCCCTCCTGTGGACTTCAGACAGCTTCACCATTTTGCCTGGGGTAGGGGGCAGCACTACATAAGACTTCCAACTGAGGAGTTCAAGGGTGAGGCTCACCAACACTCCTCCTACTCCTTCATCCCACAAGGCTCTCTCTCCAGCCCTGGAAGCTGCTTCCTTGGCCTCTAGGGAGCCACGTCTGCTTGGAGCTCCTGTGGCCTGGGTCCTACAACCTGAGTTGACCTAGTTTCTGTTGGTTTCCACCATAGCAGGGACCTGAATGATTTCTGTTCCATCCAATAAACATTTCTCACTGCAGAGTTATCTCTACCTATCACTGCTATAACTCATATCCTAAAAACATGCAGACTGGAACTTGGTGTCCTACCAGGCCCTCCACCCTATTCTGCCTGTTCTTCACGCTGCCCACTAAAGAATGTTCTGTGTGTTTTTAAGGATATTAGAGGGCAGTAGATGGCAGTTTTGTTACCCAGTTTCCCCCCAACAGACATTTTTAAGTGGCCAGTGGATGGGAGCCTTGTGAAAGTTGCCATCAGCCGGGGATCAGGCCAGGCTGTCTCAAGAGCTGAGGCCCAGCCTCCTTGATGCCAGCTGCATCTCTCAGGGAGCCTTGCTCATGCATATCCTAAGGGCTCAGGAATAAAGGAGTCCAGCACTCAGCTGCTCAGAGGACAAGGTTAAGATGGTGTGTTTTCTATCGGTATCCTCCTCTTCTGTTTCTAGAGCCCTCATTTATTTATTTATTTATTTTTTGTTTTCCTTTCTTTTTTTTTTCTTTTATTATTCATATGTGCATACAAAGCTTGGGTCATTTCACCCCCCTGCTCCCACCCCCTCCCTTACCACCCACTCCGCCCCCTCCCTCTCCCCCCAACCCCCTCAATACCCAGCAGAAACTATTTTGCCCTTATTTCTAATTTTGTTGTAGAGAGAGTATAAGCAATAATAGGAAGGAACAAGGTTTTGCTGGTTGAAGATAAGGATAGCTATACAGGGCATTGACTCACAATTGATTTCCTGTGCGTGGGTGTTACCTTCTAGGTTAATTCTTTTTGATCTAACCTTTTCTCTAGTTCCTGGTCCCCTTTTCCTATTGGCCTCAGTTGCTTTTAAGGTATCTGCTTTTAGAGCCCTCATTTAATTTGAAAATAAGTTTAAATACTGATTTTATACTTAATTTTTAAAACTCAAGAGGGTTATTGAATCATAAAGACAATTCCACACTCCTGATGCTTCCAGAATGGCTCCCTCCCCATCTTCTCTGATATTTTAGTCTCCCACACCCTTAAGCTCTCTTTCCAGGAGCACTGTGCCTTCTGTCCTTCCACCTCCTTCCCTAACCCCAACCTTTTTCTGTCTTAAATTCACAGTACCCTTTTCCTACTCATCACAAGAAACTCCTTGAGGTAACAGTCCACACTTCTGGGCATTCCCTAACCAAGGTGTTTCCACCTTCTGGAAACTCAGACTTTGATCTCAAAGATCACTTTCAACCAAAGGGCTAAATTGAAAGATCCTTCTGAGTCCTCAGACCTTTCATCTTTAGCATTTGATGCAGATCATAAGTGCTCTGTGCAGCCTGCCTTAGTTATGCATTAAATAGTGAAGCAGTAGCTTATCCCCTCCTCCTGGGCTCAGGACTCATCCTCTTGGATGTCCCTCAGACACCTCAACTCCATTGGTCTGAAACCAGAGCCCCATCTCTTCACAGAATCCCTGTTGTCTGACCTCCAAGTCACTCAAGCCAGGAATCAGAGGCAGCCTGCAGCTGGACACATCCTTTTCCTTGAGCTAACCAAAGGAACACACAGGCTTTAGGCCAGGCAGTTCTGAGTTCAAGTTTCCACTTACCATTTGCAAGCTCTGTGACCTCAGACAAGAAGCTTCTCCCCTTTGACCCTCATTTCCCCTCTCTGTAAGATGAGGGTGATACAATAGCCAAGTTATGGAAACAGCCAAGATGTCCCAGCACTGACGAATGGATTAAGAAAATGTGGTATCTATACACAATGGAATTCTATGCAGCCATGAAGAAGAACGAAATGTTATCATTCGCTGGTAAATGGATGGAATTGGAGAACATCATTCTGAGTGAGGTTAGCCTGGCCCAAAAGACCAAAAACCGTATGTTCTCCTTCATATGTTGACATTAGATCAAGGGCAAACACAACAAGGGGACTGGACTTCGATCACATGATAAAGCGAGAGCACACAAGGGAGGTATGAGGATAGGTAAGACACCTAAAAAACTAGATAGCATTTGTTGCCCTCAATGCAGAGAAACTAAAGCAGATACTTTAAAGCAACTGAGGCCAATAGGAGAAGGGGACCAGGAACTAGAGAAAAAGTTAGATCAAAAAGAATTAACCTAGAAGGTAACACACATGCACAGGAAATTAATGTGAGTCAATGCCCTGTATAGCTATCCTTATCTCAACCAGCAAAAACCCTTGTTCCTTCCTATTATTGCTTATACTCTCTCTACAACAAAATTAGAAATAAGGGCAAAATAGTTTCTGCCGGGTAGTGAGGGATAAGGGGAGGTAAGGTGAGGGGGGAAGAGAGGGGCGGGGGAAAAGGCGTAAGGGTGGGGAAGGGGGAGAAAATGACCCAAACATTGTATGCACATATGAATAACATAAAATAAAAAAAAAAGATGAGGGTGATAACAGTATCTGTTTGTTGATTTGTTAGGACTGAGTGAGCCTATGCAGCTAAAGTGATTAACATATATTAGCATATGGCAGGTGCTCAATGTAAGCTGGCCTTGGACAATGACTCCTAATAATAACCCTCTAACTAGCTCTTGACTTTGCACCCAGATACCCAAGCCAGGAACTGAGAGTTATCTTACACTCTTCCAGTTTTTTCCCCTTAACTCTGCCTGAAAAATCATCCTACATGGTCCATCCTACATTCTGGGGCTTTAATTTATGCCCTTCCCATCCCTCTCCTCTGATCAGAGGCCCTCTGATCCCCGCCTGACTCCAATCTCATCCTTCTAGTCCTTCCACTCCTTCAGGGCTTTTCGAACCTTCAGGTGCTCATGCATTCCCTCAGTTGTGCATCACATCAGAATGAAGCTTCTGAAGGTCTGGGGGGCTGGGGCTGAGAATCTGCAGCCCAACAAGCTCCAGGGTGCCAGGCTGCTGGTTCATAGCCATGCTTTGAGAAGCAAAGCTCTACCATTTCCCTACCTCCCCTTCTAAAAACAAATCCAACCCTCCTACTCAATCCCCTGACCAAAAATCTCTGATGGATGAACTTCACAGTTTTACCTAAACTGCCCTCTTCAACTTACTCCCTTCTGTCTTGCTCAATATATGCCGTGGCTTCTCAAAATGCCATCCATTTCCATCACTTACTGCCCTTGATCCGCTGTGTCCTCTCAATGTGCCCATTGGCTCACATTCTACATGGAATGCCTGACTTCATCTTCCCTGTGTCTCAGAGTCCTAGTCCCTTTTCTAAGATAGAGTACACTTCTGTTAGGATGCCTTCCAGTCTCCATGGCAAAATTCTCCATGCTTTTTGCTGTATTCCTTGACTCTTTATTTCACTACAGTAAGATGTATCTTGTCTCATTATAGTTACCTGTTTGACGTCCTCTCAGTACAGTTTTACATATGCATGCACATTTACTTCACAGCAGTGAAGAAACCAAGCCTACCTTCAGGTTTCTCTCCCACTACTGTGAGCTCAGACTCTGGCTGGCTTTCACTGGTTCCTAAACGTTGACAGCGCGAACACGAAATTTATACTCGCGGTAGGCATAGGTCCCTGGACATTAAAAAGAGGTGCTGCGGCATTGGCTAGTTCCTTCCATGTCTTGTCCCTCTGAGTCCCCAGAATCTCGACATTGTTAGGACTGTAAACAGCACGCCCGCCCATCATATGAAGAACCGTACCATGACAAGGGTCAGGAGGGCTCCGGAGTATCAGAGGCGCAACGGTGTGCCAGCTGGGGGATCTGGCTTATCTGGCGATGGAGAAGCATAAAGTGTCACTTCAAATTCTTCAATAAGAAAGGAACAAAACTTCTTTTCTGGTAGTGGAAGGAGCCCACTATCCTTATTTATTCAAAATAAACTCTGTCTTTGCTACTTTCTAGTCCACAAGTCTGATTCCTGTACTTTGCAAATCATAAACATATTTTTCAGAATAAACAGATTGGAAGCTGCTCAAGAGGCGTGACTATTTCCATCAAAAATGTGTTTTGAGAAGAGAGTTCCAGTGTGTGTGTGTGTTGTGTGCGCGTGTGGTCATCCTCCAGCGCCATGGCCAATGAACATTGTGACACAACTAGGAGTTTTGGCCTCCACTTTCTCTGTAACTTGGGAAAGTCTGTACACTGAGGGCCAGATAGCACAGTGTGAGCTCTGAAAGCCAACAGATCAGGTTTGAACATAGATCTATCCTTGCTCAGTAGCTGTTAACTGTTCTGTGCCTCAGTTTTCCTCATCTGAACAAATGTGTGTAAAACACAAGGATGTTTGTGAGAGGTTCTTAGAAAGTGGTTGACTTTGACTAGTCACTACTGGATCATTAACGTAGGAGTTTATTTCTAACCTTACAGCACAAAAAATCATTTTACCCACCTCTTGTGTTTAATTTTTTGTGCTGGGGATTGAACCAGGCCTCAAGCTGCACGTGCCAAGCACCATGCTCTACCACTGAGCTACACCCCAAGCCCCTACCCTACTTCTTTTACCCTATTCACAGGACTGGTATGCTCTGAGTAAAGAATTTCAAAAACAAACCACAAATAGTAAATCATAGCCATCTTTGACTAAGGAATAAGAAAAGGGGGATGAGAAAAAATGGACCAATGGAAGCGGCCCTTTTGCTGGCTGCCCTCCTAGTGACCTGGACTCAGACCAGTAATGCTGCCATTCAGGTCAAATCATGGCAACCAACCCTTTAGTGAGTTTTTGAGTTTTTGCAGATTTTTGTTAGTTGCTTATATGAAAAAACTTTATTTTCTAAATCTAGTTTCAATTGGCTACTAGTTATGTAGTTTGATAACCTTTTATCCTGTAACACAGCTTGAGTTCATGGACCTCACGAACTAGCATTAAAGCCATGCTATTGGATTTGTAAGTATGCGAAACTACAGAATTTGAGATTAGTTCATTTGTTTGTCTTCCCACGTGGAAAATGGTGCTAATGTACACTTTCCCTTTGGGGGTTTGCAAGCAACACAAACAGGTAAAGCACATGACTCTTGTTCTCCACTTCATTCGGCATGAAGGTCAAAGGGAATTCCCACAAATGACCCTAGATCCATTGGGAAGGAAGAACAATCTACATGTGTCTCTGTGTGTATGTGTGTATGTAAGGATATATGTATACAAATACATATTCATATTCATAGAGATATACATATACATGTACATATTCATTCTCACCCCCGCCCCCCGGCTCTACTTCTTCTACGTTCAAGCTCAGAACACACTGCCTACATCCATCTGTCCCCAACAATCCAAGTGTGGCTCTTGCCCTGAGAATGATTCCGGGAACCACGTCAGGCCCACTTCCTAGCACTGACACCAAGCTAGAGGCGTCTTGCAATGGAACTACTTTTGTTCATTGTTTAATATGTTCTCTTAGAAAAACTGTTTGTTCTGAAAGATATATTGGTCTTTTTTAGAAAGGTTTCTGGTATTGGCGAAGACATTTATTACTCTAAACTCTCTTAGAGGCAAGTGGTTCAAATCTTCTCAAGACCAGCTAAGGAAGTAAAAAAGCCTACAGAGGGATGAAAGACAGTCTCTGCCCTCACCCCAAACCACTAGGAAGACTTGCAACTGGACACTGGTAGAGTCACAGAGGTTTATACAAGTGCAGATTTCATCCACTGACTGATTCTCTCCCTTCAGCTTCAGACAACTTGGAGAGATGAGCTTTGCAGAAGAGGGACCATTTTATCTATTCTGTTACAGGTGTCTCTAACTTACATATGATGTAGTTCACTTCCTGCAGCACAAGAGAAGATGCAAAATTCGGGTAATGGGCCTTAACTTCAAGTGAAATATTGCCACTTCCAAGGATTTTGGTGCCTAATAAGGGAGTTCAGGAAAGACCAAGTCTGAAGTCCTATGAGACTGGACCTCCTACCTGTTGTAGAGCCGCTGTGCCTGATGCTTCTGTTGTCGACTACAGATCCCAAACAGGGCTGAGCTAGCCAGGGATGAGAACCCTTGGATGGGACAGGTGCTCCATGAGCCTCACGCAAAACAGACACACTCAGCCTGGGAGGGACACCCTGGGCAATGCCTGGCAAAGAAGAGACTGCTTCAGTGTTGAGGGAAGGAACCCATGTTTCCTCAGCTCTCGAGGGCTCCCTGGAGACATGACTGACAGAGTGGGAAACCCTTCCAAGGGAAGGGTCCTCTCATGGCACCAGCTCCAGAGTTTGTGCTCTGCAAATGTCTTATTCCTGGGAGTCAGACACTCTCAATCTGTTTCCCACTAGCACAGCTGCCCCTTGCCCTCTTGGGTTTCTGTGTGTGAAAGCCCATCTGTGGCTCACCTAAGCCAGCCTGGACGTCCCCTACTGGTGTGGAATTCAGTAGGGTTCCATGGTCCTCAGAGGCTAAAGCACTTTATTCACCAAGAAAACCATCTATCAGTAGTAGAGCCACAAGGAAATTCTAAAAATGGTGGAACTGATCCAGCATTTGGTACTTTCAGGCTATCCGGCAGCATGAGATCAAGAGAGCATCTTCTTAGGCATGAGCCAAGCACTAGGAGGGCAATCTCCTGTCCTTACAAATCTTGCAAATTCCAAGCTCACATGTAGTGGGGGGATTATTGGATATTTGGAGTTCTTTCTACTTTGTTTTTCTCCTTTAAAGTTATACAGAGACCTGTATTTCTCCTGCTGGGAGAGTGACATTAAGGAATCCATCTGATCTGCTGCTCTCCCTTTACCCTCCTCCCTCAGGCAGCAGACGAAGCGCAGGCGCGGGAAGAGATAGGCATCTCAATTCCTGCACTGTTTCTTAAAATATAATAATAATTAGTCTCTAAAATAGCTAAGCATCACTCATTTAACTGACTGAGAGAAGGGGCAGTCTTTATTATCATTTTAAAAACAGGGATCAAGATTATATGAAAGAAAGTAGCTCTTCAAAGAATATGTCATAAGAGAATTTTACTGCTAACAAGTAGGAATTGTATTTAAACTGGCCTTATTAAGCTGGCCAGTAAATGGAAGTTTCTAAAGATTGAAAACATTCTGGAGTAGGCCAACAATTCTGTTTTCTCATTTACGTTTTGCACGTCCTTAATAAAACTGACCAGATAATACACAGATGTCCCTGGAGACACACAGGTAATCAGCTTAATCCAGGTTTATTTGGACTAAGTCTGAATTCATGGGCTTGAATGAAAGTGACTTTGCTGTGGCCATCAATGTGAGTCCTCATTTTATTGAGTGATTCTATTCTTAGCTCTCTGGGAGGGGGAAGCAGACAGAAGCCTGCGGCTCCATTCTTCCTCTCCAGACGGCATTAACATGCCGCTTCTGCCAGCTGGCGGGCAGCCATGCCGATGGCCCCTGTCAGCACTGGCCTCAGAGAATAAGAAACTCAACATAAAGGCCAGAACTGCAGCCTGCCGTTGGGCTGGAGGAGGAGAGTGTGGCACCACATGGGGGTGGCCAGGTGTGGGGGTAGGGGGCGCTGGTTCCAGAAGAGCAGTTCAAAGTTGCTAAGCCCAAGTTACCCATCAAGGGCAGATGACACAGAACACAAGGAAAGCAGAAAATGATGCTTGCTGATTAAGACAGGATATGGTACAAAATCAATACTTCAGGAACGTGTCTAAACACACAGCAAGCTGCATCACTACCACAGGCCCAAAGGTTCCTGACTTTTGGGAAAGTTATGGAAATAAGCACCTGGAAGTCCTAATGAGAAAGGGAGAAGAGAGTCCTCTTCCCTTCATAGATGAGAACCCATTCTTACCTAAGTGCCAGGCTCCCAAGATTCAAAACTCCTGATTGAAGGAGCCAAAGGGGTCAGAGAAAGACCGGGGAAGATGGAAATGGGCTATAATGGCGGGCAATGTTAAGTAGATAGAATAGCACATGGTGGAGATGCAAGACAAGCGAGAAAGAGGGCAAGAGCATGGCAATAGAAAAAAATGGTGACCATGGGGAATGTGCACTGAGGTATACTGCTTGCTCTCTAAATCCTTTCTCCCAGGTCCTGGGGACTGGTCACCATCCTCTGGAGGGTTTTGCTGTGCTTCCTGTCCAGGAGCCTGGCTGGGCCTGGCACTATGGCCTGTTCTGGTAGCTACTTTGGCACAATTCTTTGGTCAATTCACTGTCTCCCACTTTGTCCTCATAACGTTCCTATTCACCTGGGTGGACAAGACTCCCTCTTCCCCAACTGCTTAGGGCCTGGAGGGAATGATACAGGGCTTTTCAAGTCTCCATGTGAGAAAAATGGGACCAATGTCAACAACTCCCCCGGCATGTAGACATTCCTGAAAAACCTCATCTCAATTTCATCTGAATCCAGCTGAGCCTTGCTCACTTTTGGGGACATTCTGCAACCCTCACATGTCCACAAGTGCATCTGGAAGGCAATGTGTGAAAGCCAGTTCTATGTGCCCGACATGCTGTTATTTGATTATATTGGCCCTTGGCTGCTCTCTATATGGCTGGAAGTACACATGTCTCCCAGTCCTAAGGTGAGGATATAAGCTGAAGGTGGAGGAAGGAAACTGGGATCAGATCTGAGACCACAAAATTGACAGAACATGAGACCGTGAGTCACCTTTTCCACTTCAACTTCATGCCTAGGAACTTCCACAGAGATACTGGGGGAGAAGTTTAAACACTAGCCAGGAGTCCTGTTCTAACAGATCTGTGTTCCTCCTGCCTACCTGTATGGGCCAGAAACAAAAGAAAGTTAAGCAAGCAAGGAGTTGAGGTTAACACTGGCACACAAGTGAGAATTTTAGGCCCACTGGAAGTCCTTAAGGCCAGGTCAATGAGCCTGTTTGAGCTGGGTTGTAGCCTTCCACTCTGCCAGAGGGGTTCCCTTTTTTATTTTCCACAAAGTACTCTATAAGCTTGAAGCTGAGAAAAATTGAAAACCATGCAGGTCTCACACATGTGTCAATGAACACAGGTCAAAAGCATTCATGTGTCCAGGATGGTGGCCCTGCCTATATCCACATGCAGGAGGCATAGGTAGGAGGATCAAGTCTGAGGCACCCCAGGCAAAAATGCAAGACCCTATCCAAAAATCAACTAAAGCAGAAGGGCGAGGGCATGGATCAAGGGTAGAGCGATTACTGCAAGCATGAGGTCCTAAGTTCAAACCCTAGTACTGCCCCTTCCCAAAAAGCTTTCATGTGTTAATGAACAGGGGCCCACAGAGGCATAAGACACGCTCTACTAGCATCTGTCTGCTCCTTTACTTGTGTGTCCTTACTGTCCTGAGCACCTGCCAAGGGGAGCATGATGATGGAAGTAGCTGAGCATGGACCAATGATGGGACCAGTTGAAAGCAATTTTGATGTTTCAGGAGAGAGTGACCAGGGCATGAAAAACAGTGATTAGGAAAGAGAGGAACAGTGAGTCTAGTCAGTCTGAAGATGGACTTAACTCAGTACTAGGATGTTGAATAAGGAAAAGGAAGGAATTAGAATTAGGAGGACACAATGACCTCAGAAGAGTAGTCCCAGCAGAACATGGGATATGGAGGTAAGGCACAGGTATCTGTAGAGTGCCAGGGGTTGGGGACAGAAAGTGAGAGCCTATAGGAAAACAAGTGCTGTAATTTGACTAAGATGGCAACATTTGTGGGCTGCTGGCAGGAGCCAGCAGAAGAGAGGTTGAAAATGAGAGAGAAAGGGGACAGTGGAGCAAGAGTCTGGATCCACAGCACAAGAAGGCAGCACCTTGCAAAGGAGGTGTGGTCCTCCAGAGTAAGCAGCAGACACTTGGAGGTGTGTGGGGCCATTTAATTAAGCAAAGTCATGCTGATGTCTTATATTTCTCAGAGAAGCTAAAAGGCCAAGGCTGCAGGGTGGGGGACTTGGGAACAGTACTGACCAGAGACAAGGACAAAGATCTGGAGGTCAGTAGAGCGCTGCCTGGGCCTGCAAGTGATTGATCTTGCTGCGTCCCTCAATTAGGCATGGACAGTGAGGTTGTGAAGGTGGCAATGATTCTGGGTGGGGATTTGCAGGAGGAATGGAGTGGGTGTGGACATGAGGGAGGAGGGTTTAAAGGTGCAGCAGGAGAGGTTTGAGTGGAGGGGCCCAAGAAGGCAGAGCACCAGGAGGCGGTTCAGGAAGAAGAAAGGTGCTGGGTGGGCAGTGGAGGCAAGTTGATTCAGTACCAATTTGAAGGGCAGATGTGTCATGAGAATGAAGAGGAAGGCTGGGGGAACAGAAGGCTGTGGGCAGAGAGAAAGGTCATGAAGGCAATGAGGTCCTGGGGTTCAGGCATCTGCCTTCCCTAGCCCCTACCTTCATTCACCAGGTCAGCGACTTACCCACGTGTTGACCTGGGCCTTGCTTGCCAGCTTATTCTCCCCAGCAATGTGTAGCAGCCACAGTCTCCTGGCGCGCGGCAGGAATGGTGAGCTTGCTGCCACTCTCGCTGTTTCTCCACCTTGATGTGCTCACTTTCCTGGATCTGTGGGAGAGAGGGAATGGACATGGGGGAACAGAAGGCTGTGGGCAGAGAGAAAGGTCATGAAGGCAATGAGGTCCTGGGGTTCAGGCATCCTGCCTTCCCTAGCCCCCTACCTTCATTCACCAGGTCCCAGACTTACCCACAACAGTGAGGTTGACCTGGGCCTGCCTGTTGCCCAGCTTATTCTCCACCAGCAATGTGTAGCAGCCACAGTGCTCCTGGCGCGCGGCCAGGATGGTGAGCTTGCTGCCACTCTCGCTGTTCTCCACCTTGATGTGCTCACTTTCCTGGATGTGGCAGAGAGGGAATGGACACTGGAGACTCAGATCAGCGTAGGGCCTCCTCCCTTGCTCCTATTTTGAGGGATGCATCTGGTCAGCCATGGGAGGTTCTGTCTTTTCTGGACTCTGAACTTCCTCTTACAGCCCCTTCTCCACAACCTCCAGAACTAACCCCCACCCTCACCTCCCCTGCCTGCCGAGGGTATCCAGATCTGGAATAGGCAGGGCAGGGTAGATGAACTATCTCAGCACTTGCTGCCAGCACATGGTTTAGGAGTGGCCCAGTCTCCCATCACCACTCTGAGCTGGGATGACAGGAGAACATACCTGAGCAGCCATTTGCAAAGCCAACCCCAGTGATTCTAACCCCCTCTGAGGTGTTAGTGTGGCGTCTGAAATTCTAACTAAGTAGAAACAAATGTCCATCAACTGACAAAGGATAAACAAAATTTGCTATACCCAGACAATGGAATATTATTCATCCATAAAAAGGAGTGGAGTGCTAATTCATGCTACAGTATGGATGAACCCTAAAAATGCTATCCTAAGTACAAAAAAAAATCCTGACACAAAATATGACATGTTGTCTGATTCCATTAATCTGAAATGTTCAGGATAGGAAGATCCATAGAGACAGAGCATAGGTTAGGAGTGTCGGAGGCTGGAGGAAGGGACAGAATGATTGCTAATGGGGCTGGAGTTTCTTTCTGGGTTGGGGAATTAGGTAATGATGAGGTTTATTTGAGCTTGCTAATCTAATAAAGCAACTGATTTGTACACTTTAAAAGAGTTTTTATGGTATATGAATTATATCTAAACAAAAACTGTATCTCAAAAATGTGTTAAACAATTTTTAATTAATTAAAACTAAACATTTGTTCTCAGTTGCAGTAGCCACACTTCATGTACTCAGTAGCCATGCAGGGCTAGTGGCTACCATATTGTTTAGCACAGATACAGAAGTTCCCATCATTGTAGAAAGTTTGATGGCTAGAGCTGGGACTTGGCTAGATGTCTCTGAAAAGGATGAGGCTCCATCTTGTTTAGACAATCTGGGACAGGCAGGGAGGGAGCTGATGAGAGCAAGGTAGCATTCAACTGGGATGTCAAAGGCCAGCTTCTTTCCATCTTTGAGACCAAGTCCACTTTCCTGTCTGGTACTAGTGGCTCATCTCTGGGCCTGAGACAATTTGAATGGCATGGAATCAGAGCAAGTGAGAGCTCAGAATAAATCTTCACACCTTCCACAGGGTTCCTGATGCAGAGCCAGCCCACAATTCTGGGGGGCTGATCACACATACAAGCACATACTACTGACATGGGAGCGGAGAAATTGCTGGGCTGCCCAAATTTCTCTAAAACCTGGTTCTTTGCAAATTGAAATACTTTCCCAAAGAACTATTATTATAAATCATAGATAGACTTACGGGCCAGTCAGTCAAAATTCTATGTAATTTATAATTTATCTACGCAAACACTCAGTTTCACTTTGATCCTTTTAGCATGTGGTAAGTTTAAACTATTATCACAGACAGGAATCAGCAGGCTGGCCAAATCTCAGAAAGCTAATGTTGCCTGAGAAATCATCTGAGGGCTTTGATGTTACTGAATTTGAACAGGATTCTAGGCAGATATCATAATTAGGTGGGCTCATGAGTAGTTTTACTGATTGACTCGGGTTTGGTGGGTGGAAAATGGGTCCCTCTCATTTCTTTCTTTCCTTTTGTAGAGTCTCCCCCAACTTCTCTCCTCATGCAAGTGCTCTACTACTGAGCTATATCCCAGTCCTTTTTATTTATTTTATTTTGGCAGGATCTCACTAAGTTGCCCAAGCTGTCCTTGAACTTGTAATCTTCCTGCCTCATTCTCCTTTGTGCTGGGATTATAAGCATGTGCCAGCACTCCTGGCAGTCTTTCCATTTCTAAAATGACGAGTAATGCTATGCGCATTATGGCTTTTCTCATCCCAGGGGCTGTGGGTTTGTCCTTGGACCACCTCCTATTACTGACCTGTTTTCGGAACTTCATCCAGGTACAGGTGATGGGCTGGGTACCAGTCACTTTCCCAAACAGCTCCACAGGCTCTCCTGCACGTACCTTCTGGTCCTCAGGAAACTGGATGATTTGAGGGGGCATAGCTAGGAGGGCACAGGTAGAAAATGAGCAAGGAGGGGGACTCGGTCATTCTAATCTTACTGATACCTCTGTCTATGTGGTCTGTTGGTTACTCTCTTGCCTTCTGGAACCTTCAGGGTAAGACTAGGGATGCTGGTCCCTGCTCTAGAACATCTGAGCTTGGATACCTCCTAAACATGTTCACCTCTATTCAGATTTCCTCAGAAGTGACCTACACAATTTAAATGGCATGATTCTGCACTTATTGGTACGATGGAATTCGTGTCTCACCCTAATTGTTTAAACACATGTCCTATCTCATTTATTAATTCAGTACTACCTTGCCTTCTAAGCTTTCTGTCACTCTGGTTGATAGGCTCAATAGAACAGGACATACAGAGCAGGGAACAGAGGCAGCATGGAGTGGATTAGCCACCAAGGGCCAGAAAGAGGACAGAGGTAGGTCAGAATTATGCAGATGGGACAGAAAAGCTGCCACGTATGTATGCAGGTGGGGGCAGAGGAAGGATGCAGAGGTGGATGTAAATGAGGCATGGGCTGGGCAGTGGTTCACTTGAGGAGCAGATATGGGCTGACAGAGGCAGAACTTGAACTGGGGAAGGGTCTTCTGACCACATGGTCAGCTGGCAGGGTAAATGAAGAGCCTCTAGGGCAGGTGACTCCCTAGGGCAGGTGGAACTGTGAGTAATTAATTACCTGTCTTCGGAGGAGTCTTGGGAGCAGGTTTCTTTTTCACAGTCGCATCACCTGAAACAGAGAAGTTCACAAGTTTATTTCTGTCTGTTTTTTTTTCTTTCCCACAAATATCCTGAATCCTCGGAGATGCTGTCTTGACACTTGGCCACTCATCCAGGGGCAGCCCTCATTTGAGTACGTCTTTCCACGGTTCTTTTTGCTGTCTCATGTACACAACCTCATGATTGAATGAATATCAGTTCTCAGGATCCTTTTCAGGGGTCCCTAGAGCCTTCAATGAGATAAAAAAAAAATTCTGAACCTCCATCGTCCTATTCACAGATGATAACCTCAAACGCACTACGCTCTTACCCTTAACTTTCAGGAAACTCAGAAAGGAAATTAAATGTCAGATAAACCAACTAAGATATTAGCCTTTGGTGAAGATCCAAGGGTCTCAAGGTCTTCCTTTGGGTTCACGACTATCCACCGGGTACATCTGCTTTTTAAAAAAACACATTAACATCCTGAATGGATCAATGAATGTATACAGCCTCCTTTCCTCCTTATTTTCTCCAAATAACTCAAACAGAAAAATGACTCAAATAGAAATGTTTCACGGCACAAATCTAAACTGAATGGATCAATGAATGGATACAGCCTCCTTTCCTCCTCTATTTTCTCCAAATAACTCAAACAAGAAAAATGACTCAAATAGAAATGTTTCACGGCACAAATCTATTGATTTGGATAAATAACAATATGCAGATATTTTCTCCACAAATAACTCAAACAAGAAAAATGACTCAAATAGAAATGTTTCACGGCACAAATCTATTGATTTGGATAAATAACAATATGCAGATATATTCACATATGTCTTCATGGCTTGATTTCATAGTTTTCAGGGCTTTGCTCAAAACTCATCTAGCCTATTTATACAAGAGAAAGGAAAACCTACATGCACACAAATACCTGGAAATAAATGTTTATAGTGGTTTATATATGTAACTGCCCCAAACTAGAAGCTACCACAATGCCCCCCACAGCTGGAGAATGGATAAGCTATGTTATGCTGTTACAATAAGAACTTCTCATCAATAAAAAGGAACAAGCCATGGGTATATGCAACATAGATGAACCACAATTTCTCTTTCTCTTAGTTAAAAGAAGCTGAATTCAAAAGGCTACATACTATATAATTCTATTTATATGACATTCTTAGAAAAGACAAAACTATAAGGACAGAAAACAGCTAAGGATTCTGTTGAGGTAAGAGAGAAGAAAGTGCTGTCAGAGGTTTGTGGTGTGTGTGTGTTGTAGCGCTTGACCACCAAGGGACACAAGGAAGTGTGTTAGTAATGGAACTGTATCTTGATTGGGATAGTCATTAAAAGATTACAGGAGTTCGTCGAGACTCATAGAACTATCACAGGGAAATTATACCTTAATACAAAAAATGGGAGTTGGAGTGTGATTTGAGTGATAAAGCACCTTCCTAGCAGGCACAAGGCCTCAAGTTCAATCCCCCAGTACTGAGGGGGAAAAAAAAAAACATAAAAATTGACTTGGTCTGGGAGTGTGGCTCAGCGGGTAGAGTACCTGCCGAATAAGCACAAGGTCCAGAGTTCAAACCCCAGTACTGGAGAGAGAGAGAGAGAGAGAGAGACACAGACGGAAAGGATGAATCTAACTAAGATATATGATAAGCACTTTTGTAAATGTCACAATGTACCCTCTGTACAACTATAACATGCTAATAAAAAAAAAGAGAAGGAAAAAGCCACTTCACTAATGAGATCTTCCCTAACTTCCCTCTACAAACACAGTTTCTGTTTCGAGCACTCCTTGTCACCCTTACCCTGATTTGTTATCCCCCAGGCACTTATCAAAGATGACAAACTATATACTTGTTTATTTATTGTCTATCCCTTCCCTTCCACTAAAGTGTTAGATCTTGAGAGCAGGGTTTTCTTTGTTGTTGTTCACTGCTATAGACTCAATATGCCTGGCACACAGAAGGTACTCAATAACTACTTATGAAAGAACAAGTGGGTTAACCCTGGCGATTACTCACTTACTATAGACTACGGGAGAGCAGCACCATGCCCCCACTTGGCTATGGAGTTGCTCTATGACCACAGGCAGGTTGGCTAACTTTGTGAACGATATGTTGTACATTTCTACAGAGGGAAGAGCACTGCCACCAGCTGACTGCCCCCAGAGGACTGCTGAAAGCAGGGACTGCTGACCTGGACAGAAGCTATGGCCACATGGCTAAGCCAAGTCCACTCTGGCTCATTGCCATTTGTGATTCCTCTGTCCATCTTCAAAACTTACTGAGGGCCTGTGTCTATGGTGTGCTAGGCAAATGCCAACTGGTACACACTATAAGCCTGGGTACCAAGGAGAAAACTGAACAAATGTAAGAGCTCAGGGCTTCTCATCAAGGCCCTACACGTTAGGGTGTGCGGCCCACAGGAGAGGCTTTCATCCCCCTTTTGCCATAAAAACATTTCATATGTTCAACAGATAAGATGATAGTATTATATCAGTGTTAACTTCCCATTTTGATTATTAAACTCTGGCTTTATAGGAAACTATTTTTGTTTTTAGGAAAAATGAACACAAGTATTTAGAGGGTTTATGGGTGCAGCTTTCAAATTGCTAATAAAACATAATATATATGTACATACATACAACACGTGTGTGTGTGTGTGTGTGTAGAGAAAGAGAGAGAGAGAGAGAGGTGAGGGAGAGAGAGAGAGAGAGAGAGAGAGAGAGAGAGAGAGAGAGAGAGAGAGAGAGAAAGGAGAGATGGAGAAAGGGAAGGAAAGAAGGGTTGGGGAGGCAGTTGGGTTTGATCCCCAGCACCACAAAAAAAGTGGGGAGTTTATGTGGCAAAAGACCATACAAAAAAAACAGTAAACTATTAATATCAGGAATCTGGATGAAGAAGACATAAGAATTATTTGTATTAATTTTGCAATTTTCTGTAAGTCTGAAATTACTTCAAAGTAAGCATAGAAAGTTAGAAAAAAATAAGATGTGTTATCAGTCAATAAGATGCAGTTGTTCAAAAGCAAAAGATAAGTGGAAGACATGGTCAGAAGGCTCAGTAGTGGGCATGGGACCTGACGCCTAGAAAGACAGACTGAGAGAAGGGAGAGGAGCCCTGGGTCAGCAGTAGACAAGGTACAGAATTGAAAGGAGGGTGGTGATTGGTGGAGGATGGCCAGAGCACAGGTTGATATCAGAGAGTAGTAACATTCGGTTCCTTCTTGCTACTAGTCACATTTTAAGTTCTTAATAGTCACACGTGGTTAGCTGTTATCACATAGTGCAGAATAGAACATTAATGCCATAAAAAGTTATACTGGACATGCTGGTCTTGAATATTGAGCTTAGAGCTAGGCCTTTGTCCTGAGTGAATAGGAAGTCCTCCCACAAATAGCTGTCAGACTGGTCTTGAGGTTCCTACCAGGTCTTCCCAACTGCTGGGGGACAAGGATATCCTATTAAAATCTTGCAATATCTTAGAAGGCACTGATCAAGATTCGTGCAGAAAAAATGATACAAATGAGAGACAGAAGAAAAGTTAAAAAGAATTTAGGGGGCTAAACAAAGGAGGCACAAAGGTTACTTTGAAGTTTCTTGTTTAGATACACAGGGAAAACGTGGGAGTAAATGATGAGCAGTTTGACTTAGATGAATTGTGGATGACAGAATTGATCTGTTTGCAGGCTACAAGCCCAGGATCAGAGTTCTAGAGAGAGGCTGGTGGAGAAAGGAAGGGAAAAATTTTAGACTCAACCTGCAATTAGAATGGGACTAAGAGGATGGGTCAGTCTTTGGGGAAAAGAAGGCAATGAAATATGAGAAGGAGCTAGGGCTGATCCCAGTAATGCCCCAGAGAGGAACTGGTGAAGGGAGAGGACTGTGGAAGGCCCTGGAGAGTCACGTTGAGCAATGGTGAAGTATGAATGTTGGGAAGAGCTCCAGTTGTGACCAGCACAGAGTAATGGGTGGTGTTGCAAAGACGAGGTTCAGAAGTCACTCCAGAGGAGATGCTTAAGGAAATGGTGTGTGTATTGGGGGGGAAGCTAGTCAGTCAAGAATCTGGAGGTGAAAGGACAAGAGAAATAGAATGAAGAAGTGTCAAGCTAAGGATTCTGTTGAGGTGAGAGAGAAGAAAGTGAGGTTGGAGGCAGATGGCCAGGACTTTGTGGAGCAGAATGGAGAACATATGGATGCTGGAGAAAATAGCATGAGAAAGCTAAACATGGTGAATGGTGTTCCCTCAGATTCATGTGCTAAAGTCCTAACCCACAGTTCCTCAGAAGGTGGCTGCACATGAAGAACGAAATGTTATCATTCGCAGGTAAATGGATGGAATTGGAGAACATCATTCTGAGTGAGGTTAGCCTGGCCCAAAAGACCAAAAATCATATGTTCTCCCTCATATGTGGACATTAGATCAAGGGCAAACACAACAATGGGATTGGACTTTGATCACACGATAAAGCAAGAGCACACAAGGGAGGTGTGAGGATAGGTAAGACACCTAAAAAACTAGATAGCATTTGTTGCCCTCAACGCAGAGAAACTAAAGCAGATACTTTATTTTTTTTTCCTTTTCTTTATTATTCATATGTGCATACAAGGCTTGGGTCATTTCTCCCTTCTGCCCCCACCCCCTCCCTTACCACCCACTCCGCCCCCTCCCTCTCCCCCCCAATACCCAGCAGAAACTATCTTCCCTTATTTCTATTTTGTTGTAGAGAGAGTATAAGCAATAATAGAAGGAACAAGGGTTTTTGCTGGTTGAGATAAGGATAGCTATACAGGGAGTTGACTCACATTGATTTCCTGTGTGTGGGTTTACCTTCTAGGTTAATTCTTTTTGATCTAACCTTTTCTCTAGTACCTATTCCCCTTTTCCTATTGGCCTCAGTTGTAAATCAACTAGCAAAAACCCTTGGTCCTTCCTATTATTGCTTATACTCTCTCTTTAACAAAATTAGAGATAAGGGCAAAATAGTGTCTGCCGGGTAGTGAGGGGTAAGGGGGGT